CTGGTGGTTCTGGATCTGACGGTTCTGGATCTGACGGTTCTGGATCTGGTGGTTCTGGATCTGACGGTTCTGGATCTGACGGTTCTGGATCTGGTGGTTCTGGATCTGACAGTTCTGGATCTGGTGGTTCTGGTTTCATCAGATGGTTCTGGATCTGGTGGTTCTGGATCTGACGGTTCTGGATCTGGTGGTTCTGGTTTCATCAGATGGTTCTGGATCTGATGGTTCTGGATCTGACGGTTCTGGATCTGACGGTTCTGGATCTGGTGGTTCTGGATCTGGTGGTTCTGGATCTGACGGTTCTGGATCTGGTGGTTCTGGATCTGGTGGTTCTGGATCTGACGGTTCTGGATCTGACGGTTCTGGATCTGGTGGTTCTGGTTTCATCAGATGGTTCTGGATCTGATGGTTCTGGATCTGGTGGTTCTGGATCTGGTGGTTCTGGATCTGGTGGTTCTGGTTTTATCAGATGGTTCTGAAACTGATGGTTCTGGATCTGATGGTTCTGGACCTGACGGTTCTGGTTTCATCAGACGGTTCTGGTTTCAACAGATGGTTCTGGATCTGTTGGTTCTGGATCTGATGGTTCTGGACCTGACGGTTCTGGTTTCATCAGATGGTTCTGGTTTCATCCGATGGTTCTGGATCTGGTGGTTCTGGTTTCATCAGATGGTTCTGGATCTGATGGTTCTGGATCTGGTGGTTCTGGATCTGACGGTTCTGGATCTGACGGTTCTGGATCTGGTGGTTCTGGTTTCATCAGATGGTTCTGGATCTGATGGTTCTGGATCTGGTGGTTCTGGATCTGACGGTTCTGGATCTGACGGTTCTGGATCTGGTGGTTCTGGATCTGACGGTTCTGGATCTGACGGTTCTGGATCTGGTGGTTCTGGATCTGACAGTTCTGGATCTGGTGGTTCTGGTTTCATCAGATGGTTCTGGATCTGGTGGTTCTGGATCTGACGGTTCTGGATCTGGTGGTTCTGGTTTCATCAGATGGTTCTGGATCTGATGGTTCTGGATCTGGTGGTTCTGGATCTGACGGTTCTGGATCTGACGGTTCTGGATCTGGTGGTTCTGGATCTGACGGTTCTGGATCTGACGGTTCTGGATCTGGTGGTTCTGGATCTGACAGTTCTGGATCTGGTGGTTCTGGTTTCATCAGATGGTTCTGGATCTGGTGGTTCTGGATCTGACGGTTCTGGATCTGGTGGTTCTGGTTTCATCAGATGGTTCTGGATCTGATGGTTCTGGATCTGACGGTTCTGGATCTGACGGTTCTGGATCTGGTGGTTCTGGATCTGGTGGTTCTGGATCTGACGGTTCTGGATCTGGTGGTTCTGGATCTGGTGGTTCTGGATCTGACGGTTCTGGATCTGACGGTTCTGGATCTGGTGGTTCTGGTTTCATCAGATGGTTCTGGATCTGATGGTTCTGGATCTGGTGGTTCTGGATCTGGTGGTTCTGGATCTGGTGGTTCTGGTTTTATCAGATGGTTCTGAAACTGATGGTTCTGGATCTGATGGTTCTGGACCTGACGGTTCTGGTTTCATCAGACGGTTCTGGTTTCAACAGATGGTTCTGGATCTGTTGGTTCTGGATCTGATGGTTCTGGACCTGACGGTTCTGGTTTCATCAGATGGTTCTGGTTTCATCCGATGGTTCTGGATCTGGTGGTTCTGGTTTCATCAGATGGTTCTGGATCTGTTGGTTCTGGATCTGACGGTTCTGGTTTCATGAGATGGTCCTCCATCAGACTCTGGTTAGTTTGGGGATAATCCAGGCTTTCCTGCTGAAACATGGCTGCTGTTAGATTGGGTCTGGCAGCCTGAAGTTCTCCAGAACCTGCTGAGCAGATCAGGTTCTGCTGGTCGTGTTTGTTGTGGCAGCAGCTGATCTGCGTCTGTTTATGGTTCACTCTGCATCCCGCCACACACACCTTCTTGTTTTGCTATATGTTATGAGGACCATGCATTAACTCCCATTGATTGTTCTGTCTCATCCTTTCTATGCCGTAACCCTACGCAGTGCAGGCCTGACTCCACGCAGCCAATCCTAAGCCTAAGCTAAACTCAGTTCTGAGTTTAGTCCACTGCTGCCTACTCCTGAGCAAAGAAAGTCCCTACTGGCTGTCGTAGACGTTCTATGATGACATCATCATATTTATATCAAGCCGTAGGAGAGAGGGATATTAACATTGGCATCAGAATACGATTAAATCAGGTGAAATACATTTAAAATTTAAAAATTTAATCTTGGAAATGAAGTTTTTTTTTCAACTTTGTTTTCATTAAACTTTTTCTTGCAAAGCAGATAGTGCTTAACAAATACAGACATTCAGGCCTAACATAATACACAACATACACAAAACAAAAAACAAAACAATCAAGGAATCAGGGAGACCAAAAATAAATAAACAAATAAATAAAATATATTTATAATATCCACTCAAGTATGGTATCTTGTCACACTATAACTCGGGGTGTTTTTCCAGGCCAGGTCCATAAGCCCCGCCCTCACCCTGTGAGATGTGGCGTCATCAAGCTAGTCCAGAAATGGGTCCCAGGTCCGATAAAATCCAAATAATTGTCCTTAAATGCCATAGAAAAAGCTTCAAATGGAATGAAACCAGTCAGTTCGTTTCCACTGGTTTAGATTGGGTTTTTTCAGTGATCCAAAGGGCTAAGATACGTATCCGGGTGCAAAATGTGTAAAATGTCTCTGTGGTGAAAACCAGCTGGCAGGTCGTCCTCCAGTCCTATTAGAGAAGTCCTTACACTCAGATGTAGATGACACTTTAAAATCAGACTTAACTGCTGAACAATTATACTCCAGAACTGTTGGATATGAGATCAGCTCCAGAAGCAATAAATAAATAAATCTGCATCAGATCAACATTTATTACAGAGCTCTGAAAAGTTTGGATTAAATCTGTGTCTGTCTACAGGAATGATAGAAAGCCTGCGCTTAATCTTAGATTACCTCTCTGATGCAGAGTTAAACTGTCCGGTCATCAGACTTTACTGGACCTGAGTCAGATTCCCATTTGCTTTTTATTTTAAGAGAATTATCTACGTTAAGATTAAAGGATCTTATATACCTTCTTCGAAAAACATTTAAGTTGCCTACTATTTAGCAATAGGGATGCTATGGGAGATGCAGCAAGGCCAGCCGTCGAGTCTTTTAGGTTGCACAAAATAAAGTTATGAGCTTGGAGAAATTTGATGAAGTCTTTTCACTTGTTGAAATGTATGGATTGAGCCTTCCTGCATCATATCCCCAACGACTCCAATACCCTTATCCTTCCAGTCAGGAAGGCCCCCCCGCAGCCCAGGTTGCCGTGAATGTCGGCAAAGAGAAGCAATTACTGAACGCCTCCAAATTCCAGATCTTATGCCAAATGTTTAACATATTCTTTAAAATCAAATTATCTTTCACTAATGTTGCGGAAATCAAGTATGTAGTAATATTTGAACGCAACCAAAACTACATAAATCAATCTTGTTATGTTATCAAATTAAATTTAAGCAGAGTTGAATAAGATGAAACACTTTTAAAGGGAAAAAAAAGTGAACATTCTGCTTATGATCTGGAAGCTTTGGTTTAACTCATTTTCAGTTGGGAAAAGTCGGAGAATCACTTTTCATCCAGCGTGACTCCAGGCAGGGTTTGCTTCAGGGGAGGGAGGGGCTCCAGCAGCACTCGCTGCTCACTGAAGGTTGGAAACTCAGAGCGATTAGTGGTTTTAGGATGTCGCCAGAGTCTCCAGCAGCACAGAAAATAAAATATTGGTAGAAGGGTCTGAAAAGTCACTAAATACGTCAATAAAATCGCCAAATAGGAAACAATACAAACACTAAACATTAATTTTGAATATCTAACCTTAACTCTGATCTCCCTCCAATCCCCTTTCCTCACGAAGTTCTGCAGAATAAAATCCTAAAACATAGAAAAAGATGAGCAGTAAAATGTTTGAACTTAAATTAATAACCTTTATTTAATCTGATAAAACCTCATAAAGAGGAACCTGTTCAGATAATGGCACCATTTTCAAGTTGGAAACAAAATAATAAAATCATTGGTGGCAGTTAAAGCTTTCTAGTAAAAACCTGAAGTCCAGTTAAATTAATTATTGAAGCAATTAGACTAGGAATGCACGATATAATCGGCCCCCTATCGGTATCGGCCTTAAAACTGAATATCGGACATCGGCCACCCCACCGATATTTAACCCGATATTTGATCAGCTTCTGAGTTTCTACTTCTTCTTCCTCAAAAACGTCTTTTTTACAGACTTAAAAACTTCTAAAGACGAGGGAAAAAATATTGATCCATTAAAATATCCCAATATCTTCATATGCTGATATATTGCCATTTAAAAACACCATATCAATCTCTTTTACTAATGAAATATTGCTATATGTCATCGTTATGCTACGAAATCCCCCGAAAATTCGCAAAATGTTGCCATATTTTTATATGTTGATATATTGACGCGGTATCGATCTATTTTACTAACAAAATCTCACAAGAATTTGCAAAATATCACGAGAGTTTGTAACAGAACGATGAAATTTCACCAGATTTTGAAAGTAAAATAGATCGATACCGCGTTTTTAAAAATCAATTTGATATCAGCATATGAAAATATATTTGAGTATATTATTTTTCAAAGTGTCAGAAATGGATAACAAAACTGCTATTTTCAATGACTACTTATTTTTGTCCAGCTTTAACATCGGTATCGATATCGGTTATCGGCTACATGAGTTTTAAAATATCGGCATATCGGATATCGGCCAAAATCCCAATATCGTGCATCCCTAATTTAGACGTATAAATCTGTATCTCGTCTGCATAACAAAGAGCTGAAATCTTATGGGAGTCGGTCCAAAAAGCAGGAGTGTTTTAAAAAGAATAACAAAAATGATCCCAAATAGCGTCCTTGAGGGACACCGTAGGCTTTAACAGGCTTTAATGGAACCGATTCTGTCTTCCAGTTAGAAGACTGCACCCTGCAGGTGTCTCCAAGCGGGAGCTACCTGGACCTGGACTCTTCTCTGGCTGAGCAGCGGGACGACTTGGAGAATTTCTACGAAGACGTGGCGTAAGAAAAGCTTCCTTCTTCTCTGCTGTCTGCTCCTATGTTTCTGTTGGGACGTTAAACCAGCGTGGAGAAGACGTAGAACCCGTGTTTAATCTCCGTTCTTCCTCTAATCTCAGCATCGGCCTGTTTGAATAAAACGGATCTGGGCTCAGAACTGGGCCTGCTGGTTTGGATGCTTTTGCTGACTGAAGGTTTCTTGCTTTTTCCACAGGAAGGGAAAGAAGCCGATCCTGATCCTGAGGACTCAGCTCTCCGTTCGTGTTCACTTCATCCTGGGTAAATATTTCCAAACATCGTTTTCTCCAGAGCAATGACTCAGAGGAAAGATGCCATCAGGAGATGTTCCTCCTCCTCCTGTCCAGCTGCCAGCTCCGTCAGCAGGATGGCATCTCTGTGGGAATGTTGCTGTTTGCTGTTAGTTTTATTCTAGTTCACCGTCTCCTCTGGTCCATGGAGACGAGAATCTGCTTTTATGCTGTTAGTATGAGGAGAACAGATGTGACCTGATGTTTAGGTGCAGGTCTGGACCCTCCTGATCTCTGCTCAGAGGGTTAAGGTTGGAGGTCTGATCACAGAAGAGCAGGATGGAGACATGTTTCACATCTGGAGATGTTCCAGAGCAGCTTAGCTTAGCTTCCTCCTGCAGGTCCAAACCCTCCAGGCTGGTGGAGGATCTGGACCTTCAGAACAGTTTGTTTAGCAGAGCTGTGCAGAAACAGCTCCTGGATCATCTGGAGGGAGTTCTGAGGAAAGCAGAACTGCAGGTCTGGTCAGCAGCTATTGCAGCGAGGTCCGCCTTTTCTGGTTCTGCTCAGAATGACCCGTTTCTGTGTTTCTCCCCGGGGAGGGCTCTTTATTTTTAGCTCGTTGTTATCGGAGCCCAGAGGGCTGCGGTTCTCTTCCTGTTCCAGCCTCCAGTTTTCTGCTGAACTTTGGGCCAGAGGCGCAGGAATGCTGCAGCTCCCGGTTCTGCTTTTATTGCAGCTGTTTAATCATTGTTGTGGCTTTAGGTTTTATCTCAGATGTGAACTTCTTGACCCAATCCAGTTGGAAGTTCTGGTGTTGCTCTGTGGCAGGGCCTAACGGGCCGGTTCTGTGAGGGTGTAATTAAGGTGTCGGCTCTCCGCCTGAAGCCAGAGGTGTTTTTCTGTCAGAATCCGTCCTCCTTTCATCCCTGAACTTGTCCTCCCCGCCGCCCGGCATGGCCACGCCCTTCCTGCAGGAGGGGCTTTCCCAGCATGCCTCGTCAGCCTCGCAGGCAGGCGTCTGAGATCAGCAGCTCGCTGACTCACGAGGAGGTGACGTCACCTCTCCTGGTTCTGCTTCTTCCACTGAGAAGAAACCAGAAACCGTGGCTGTTTGTTTTTTTTTTCAGGCAGACATGGAAACAATCAGAGGCTACATTTAGATCCAGTTTGACCCAACAGAACCCGGAGCTCTGCTCTGAAACACGCCTGCATGCAGGGGAGCTGCAGCTCCGTACGCCGTGGTATGGGGTAACCATGACGACGGGTAAACAAATCTAAGGCAGCCTCAGTCGGGACAGAGGATTTGACCTTTGAACCTGACCCGAACGTTCGGATCAGTTCCGATCAGTTCCGATCAGACCCAGTCTGAGGAGAACCTGGAACCCACAGCCTGGCTCTGATTGGACAGAATTCGATTGTTCGGGTTTAGACTGGGCTCTGACTCTAATCTGCTGTCAGCTTGGCGCGAGGTGAGGCCCCGATGAGCGTCCTTCCTCCTTTTGTTGTCGCTGCTTTGATGCAGAGTCTGGATCGTGTCCCGTCTCTGACTCCTTTGGTCGTTATGAGCTAAAAACACGCGCAGAGCAGCAGGGATCCGGTTAAACGTCACGAGTTCTTACAGAATCAAAACTCATATCTGCAGCCCAGAACGGTAGATAACCGGTTCAAGACGTGATCGAGAGACACGATCAAAAGATTATCAGAAGAGACATCAGCTCCTTTCAGGAAAGAACTAAGAGGTTTAAATAGAGAACTCTAAGGCATGAAAACTGCACCATCAGCATATCGTCTTCTCCTTTACGTTCCTCTGCTTTAGATGCATGAAGCTGTTGGTTCGCCGCCAGTAGAGGTCACCTGCTGCAGCAGGGAACATTCTAGAACAGGAGTCTGCAACCTGCGGCTCCAGAGCCACATATTGCTCTTTGGACCCTCTCCAGCGGCTTTTAATAGTGGCTAAAATCTATATAAAAAGCTAAATAATTTACTACAATATATACCGCTATGAACAGCTTAAGCGTTTTTTATAAGATGGAAAAGAATGAGATTAAATTCATTTAATTTAATTAAAAGAACCACAAATATGTTTTAAGAGACATTTTTCTGTGAATTAGTTTGAAAATTATACGTTAACATTTAAAAATGTATGAATAGGCTCTATGCACATCTCCACTACTTCCTGAATTTAAAGCAGCTCCTTTGTTTCCTGTCTTTCATGATTGGATGCACTGATTAATCCAGGTGTGTATGACCTAAGTAACTGGCCAGACACACCTGGATTAATCAGTTCGTCCAGTAATGAAAGACAGGAAACAAAGGAGCTGCATTAAATTCAGGAAGTAGTGGAGCTGTGCATAGAGCCCATTGATTGTTTGAGATGGCAACAACTAATTTCCTTTACAAGATAAAAAAAAAAAGAAAAAAAAAGGTTTTCTAGAAAAAGTCGTGGTATATTTTGCGGCTCTAAACATCTTTTATTTGGTTGTACTCTGCGCAAAACGGCTCTTTGGATATGAAAGGTTGCAGACCCCCAGAGATGGGAAGTAACGAAGTACAAATACTTCGTTTCTGTACTCAAGTAGATTTTTCTGATATTTTTACTTTACTTTACTACTTATTTTTATGGAAACTTTTTACTTCTTCTTACATTTTTACACAAATATCTGTACTTTCTACTCCTTACATTTAAAAAAAAATTGTCTCGTTACTTTAGTTTTGAATCATTTCAATGGAGTTACCGTTATTATTTTTCACGTCATCAATACCAAATTCAATCTAATTGGATGGGAATCTACGTTGCTTTTGACGCACCACTACAAGATGAATCGACAGATTCGGCGGTATTCATTGGCGGCAAATCATTGCAGCTTGGTGGCGGTGGCGTTAGCATAGTAGCATGGACGACGAGATGATTGAAAATGAACACAACGGAGATCTAGTCCTATTGGCAGACACCCATTTAAAATGTAGGCAACGGCATGAAAAAAGTGGTTTCTACTTTTACTTTTATACTTTAAGTAAATTTACAAGCCTGTACTTTGTTACTTTTACTTGAGTAAAGAAGTTTAATCAGTACTTCCACTTTTACCAGAGTATTTTTTAACACAAGTATCTGTACTTTTACTCAAGTACGGAAAGTGAGTACTTTTGCAATCTCTGCAGACCCCTGATCTAGAAGCTGAAGGACGGACATTAGACAGAGGGAGACCACCAGCGGGCCAAGAACGGACCCCTGAGGTGCCCCGCATGTCGGCTTTGCTGATTGCTGCTGGAGATCAGCTGCAGAGAGAGATGTTTCAGATGGAGGTTAATGAGCGATCTGCTGTGGAAGCGGATAAATCTACGGCTCTGATGGTATTTGCTGCAGACCGGATGAAGGCTCCGGGCTCCTCTAAATGAATCCTTCTTCTCTCCTCTATTGTTACAGTTTCTGGTCTAAATAACGTCCTCGGTTCCATTCTTCTTCACTCTGCAGCTCGGCTGCTAACTCACTAACAGGAAATACCACTCTGTGTTTATCGGCCTCACTTCCTGTGTGTTCAGGACAAACATCCTTCTCTGCTTCCATATTCCATCCATCTTTAGGATGATGACTCTTTAGAGCGCCGTTTGTCTCGCAGGACGGATCTCGATTGGTTCCTCAGGCCCGTTCCGGATGATGCTCTTGATAAAAGCTGTTAATGAGCCTCTTTGTTTTCCCAGAAGCTCGCAGATCTCGACATGCTTCTGCTGTTTCGTAACTGCAGCCTTTAGACGGACTGATTCCAATCTGCTGAGGGAGTGGAGCCACGTCTCTGTCCCGTTCTCCTGCATTCCTGCAGCTGCAGTATGACCCTGCACATTTTCTGCTGCAGCCAGCTGCACACTGCAGGTTTGCATTTCCGGGTCTGTTTCATGCAAACTGCAGCCAGGAACCGGGGGGTCATTGGTTCCTACCTACCTGAAGACCAGGAAGGTTCTCACCTGCGGACTGGATAATCTGAAAAAACGCAGATATCAGTTTTCTCTACATGAATCTGCTCACTGCAGCCTAAACCCTAAAGTTGATTTTAGTGTTTTGTTTCGTGAACATGTGGAGAGCGATTTAATCCTTTAATCTGCTGCTTTCTCTCTGGTCTCCATGCTGGTCTGACTGGTTTGTTTGGCTGCAGTAACTGGAGTCCTCTGACCTTCAGACAGGGACAGAGCAGTCAGCTGCCATCATTAAACACTTATAGCGCTTTATAATCCTCCTCCAGGCTTCAGCTGTTGCGGCGGAAACTGGTGCTGGCTGGCGGCCATCTTGGCTCAGAGCTGCATGTGAACGTCTCTGAGGGGATGATGTCAGAAGCTGCAGTGTGTTTCCTCTGCTGCTGCAGGTCATTCTGCAGCCCTGCTGGGTTCAGGATGCTGCGTGTCCATGCCTGTCGGGTGACTGAGGTTCCCAAAAAGTTTCGTAAGGAGCTCATTCTTCAGCGTGTCGACGCCTGCTCTGCAGCTCATATGAAGCCTGGATGGCTGCTGCCAATCGGTGGCTGGGATGTTAGGAGGAGATCCAAATAAACCAGAGCCTCCAGTCAACCAGCACCAGTGAACTGGGCTCCAGTTAAACCTGGTTCTGCTGTGAGCTCATCCAGACGACATCGGGTCGGAATTCTTCCTAAAACATTCAGGATCCGTTTATAGAACAGATTTTCTCATCCAGATTTAACCTGTTAAGACCTGCTGCGGTTCTGGTTCTGGTCGGTTTCTGCAGAACTTTAACGGTTTGCAGTTTATTCACATGAAGTTGGAGAGAAGTTCTACAGTTCTGCTAAAAGCAGCTGATGTTCCGTCTGTGTGCTGATGACTCTGATGCTCCTCGTTACCAAAAGAGAGATTAAACCTGAACTCGGTGTTAATAAAGTTACACTATGGACTCATTTAAACTCACCTGACTTTGACCTCACTTCCTGTTTCTCTTCTTCTTGTGTTTCAGAGAGGTTGTACAACTCCAAAGGCCCAGAACTCAGGAAGTGTCTGTTCTCCCTGAAGCAGCTCTTCCAGGTAACTTTCACCTGGTTGGTTGCTCCTCCTGGAGGAGTTTTATTAGCTGTAAACACAGAGGATCTATTTTTATAGGAGGTTTCTGGATTAAGAACTCCTTCATAAAGGAAGCTGATCTTTTTTTAGCTCCAGGTGAAGCAGGTTGTAGCTCTGAAGGAGGTTTAAAGAAGGAAAAATTAAACTAAAGATTCCCTTTTTAACGTTTCGATCATAAATCCGAGGTTCCTTCCTCTGCTCACCAGAGGTTAACTTCTCTAAACTGGAATAAAGCAAAGTTTTATAGGAATGTTGTGAGAAAAGTACGGAAGAGGATTAGGGCCACTGAAAAAAAAAAAAATGATAACTGATTTTTTTTATTTTATTTCAGTATAGTATGAGAAAAAAGTCAGATTTCTGACTTTTTTCTCAGAATTCTGACATTAATCTCAAAATTTTGACCTTTTTTTATTGTCAGAATTCAGTCAAAATTCTGAGATTAAAGTCAGAATTTTGACTTTAATCTCAGAATTTTGACTTTAATCTCAGAATTCTGACTTTAATCTCAGAATTCTGACCTTTTTTATTGTCAGAATTCAGTCAAAATTCTGAGATTAAAGTCTGAATTTTGACTTTAATCTCAGAATTTTGACTTTTTCCCATGTGAAACTAAAATAAAATTTAAAAATCAGTTAACATTTTTTTTTTTTTTCAGTGGCCCTAATCCTCTTCCGTAGAAAAGGGATGAAAAGCTGCTAATGGATGGTTTCTGTCTGCAGGATGATAAAGATCTGGTCCCAGAGTTTGTTGCCTCTGAAGGTTTGACGTGTTTCATCAAAGTTGGAGCTGAAGCCGACCACAACTATCAGAACTACATCCTGAGAGGTGAGACTGCTGCAGTCTGGGGCTCCATGTCGGATCCTGTGGTTCTACAGCCAGGATCTCTGCTGGGTTTATCTATAGTCTGGGTTTAAACCTCAGACTATAGATTCTGGAACCAAAGACCAGGAAGCGTCTCTGCTGTGATCAGCTCTCTAGAAGGTTCAGTCCTGCAGAAGAACTGAAACGAATAAGAGGAGTTTGGATGATTATTAATTGTTGTGGATTGATTGGATCAGGATGATGATTCGGTTTCCAGACGTTTTGTAACGTCGGCTCTTCGCCGGGTTCAGATGTTTGTCCTTAGGACGCTGTGAGAAGAAATAATCCTGACCAATCAGGAGGAGAGGTACTCGGGTTAGTCTAGTCCTCTGCTCCTCCTGCAGACCTTCAGCCAGGCTCCCTGTGTATAGCCACATGCTGCCAGTGGTGGGGAAGCTCTGCCCTGGTGGCACCCTGATTGTCCGTTAAGCTGCTGGGTTTTCCTGAAGCTGCTTCTCTCCATTTTTGAAGGATAGAAAACTCTGCAGAGATCTGAAACACAGATCACGGTTTCATAGATTCTCTGCAGAAACCCATCAGAACCAGCAGCTAAACTGGAAAGGCCTGAAACAAACCAAGCAGTGTTCGTGTTTCAGGGACGCCAGCAGAGGACATCAACCTTTTCAGAGATCATGGTTGCGTTGAGCAGCAGTAGCTCCTCTCCTGAGGATGGAAACAGTTGGTAGTTCACGCTTCCAGAGAAGCCGCAGAGAGCAGAGTCAGCTCCTCAGATTATAGGTTTGTTCCTGGCAGGCGGACTCCTGACGAAGCTCCTCCGTCCCTCTGTGTCCTCAGCTCTCAGTCAGATCATGCTGTTCGTTGACGGGATGAACGGAGTGATAAACCACAACGAGACGGTGCAGTGGCTCTACACGCTGACGGCCAGTCTGGTGAGCCCCAAACCGCTAATAGGAAAGACCCAAAGCTGTGAGTCACTGCAGCTGTGATTAGCAGAGCTGTGGCGCCATCTGATGGTCAGTCTGGGTGTTTTCCAGTCTCGCCTGCTGGTGAAAACGGCTCTGAAGCTTCTCATCGTGTTTGTGGAGTATTCAGAGTCCAACAGTCCTCTGCTGATCAACGCCGTCAACACGGTGGACTCCATGAGGGGTACGCACGCACGCACACACACACACACACACACACACACACACGGTCTCTTCTTTCCATACATGGTGAGGACTAGAGGTGGGACCAAGTCATTGTCAGTGAGTTTGAATTTCAATCCTTTCAAATCTTTTATTTAAACTAATCTGAATATTCTGTTTTATATTTAATTAGTAGAACAAATCTGTGTGAAAATACTGCAGATGAACATTTTTTAAATATGGTAGGTTTAGCTTAAGTTGACCGATGACTCCTAACGACGCAATTAAAACCTCAAACCTGGAAGTTTTTCTGTCTTTCTTATTCACTTCCTGTCTTTGGATTTTTTTTAGTTGAGTATTTTAAAGTTAATCTACCTGAGAGGATTAGGGGGCATATTTATTTTTAAAAATCTGGTTAATTTGATTGGCTGTTCAGCAGCTCATAGAAAAACAGTGTGGAAAGAAACTGAGACAGTCTGTTAATTAGTATGAAATTAATCAACATATTTATACCAAAGTGGTGTTTAAATTAATTTATAGTTCAAAATAATGCATTAAATGGGTTGAGCAATTGTTCTTTATCGTTAATTACACAAAGACACCTACAATACAAACTGTACCCTGTTAAATATAAGAACAGATTATTAAAAGGGCAAGAATTCTGTTTTCCTCTTTGACTGTGAATAATAATTACTGTATTTTTGTTTGTTGTTAATTTACTAATGTTAAAATGTCAAAGTGGGATGTTGTACATGATGGTATCACTGCTGCCACCTTCTGCTTTAGAGGGGAACTGCTTGTTCCAGAGGTGGGTGGGCGAACTCTGCTCAACTAAATGTTAGCATTAAAGGAAGCAGCTAGATGTCCTCACTCTGATGCCAAAACAGGAGCACAAAAACACACCTTGTTCAGCGAGGCAGCTGAGCTGCAGAGCTTCTGATGTTGATGGAGATGATTCATCCTGCTGAGAAGCAGTGGTTTGCTGGTCAGATGTGTTGCTATGGTTACCAGGCGTGTCTGTTACAGGTGTGACGCCATGGACGAATATCATGGATATCCTGGATGAGAAGAACGGCGCCGACACGGAGCTTCTCATTTTCACCATGACGCTCATCAACAAGGTACTGACCCTGTAGATGGACCCGCCCCCCGACCTTTAGATGGACCCGCCCCCCGACCTTTAGATGGACCCGCCCCCCGGTCCTTTAGATGGACCCACCCCACGCCCCCCCCCCCGGACCTTTAGATGAACCCGCCCCCGGTCCTTTAGATGAACCAGCCCCCGGTCCTTTAGATGGACCCGCCCCCGGACCTTTAGATGGACCCGCCCCCCGACCTTTAGATGGACCCGCCCCCCGGTCCTTTAGATGGACCCACCCCACGCCCCCCCCCGGACCTTTAGATGAACCCGCCCCCGGTCCTTTAGATGAACCAGCCCCCCGGTCCTTTAGATGGACCCGCCCCCCGGTCCTTTAGATGGACCCGCCCCCGGACCTTTAGATGGACCCGCCCCCCGACCTTTAGATGGACCCGTCCCCCGGTCCTTTAGATGGACCCGCCCCCCAACCTTTAGATGAACCCGCCCCCCCGACCTTTAGATGGACCCGCCCCCCGACCTTTAGATGGACCCGCCCCCCGACCTTTAGATGGACCCGCCCCCCGACCTTTAGATGGACCCGTCCCCCGGTCCTTTAGATGGACCCGCCCCCCAACCTTTAGATGGACCCGCCCCCGGACCTTTAGATGGACCCGCCCCCCGGTCCTTTAGATGGACCCGCCCCCCAACCTTTAGATGGACCCGCCCCCCGACCTTTAGATGGACCCGCCCCCCGACCTTTAGATGGACCCGCCCCCCGGTCCTTTAGATGGACCCACCCCACGCCCCCCCCCGGACCTTTAGATGAACCCGCCCCCGGTCCTTTAGATGAACCAGCCCCCCGGTCCTTTAGATGGACCCGCCCCCCCGGACCTTTAGATGGACCCGCCCCCGGACCTTTAGATGGACCCGTCCCCGGTCCTTTAGATGGACCCGTCCCCCGGTCCTTTAGATGGACCCGCCCCCAGACCTTTAGATGGACCCGCCCCCCGGTCCTTTAGATGGACCCACCCACGCCCCCCCCCAGACCTTTAGATGGACCCGCCCCCCGGTCCTTTAGATGGACCCACCCCACGCCCCCCCCCCGGACCTTTAGATGGACCCACCCCACGCCCCCCCCCCGGACCTTTAGATGGACCCGCCCCCCGGACCTTTAGATGAACCCGCCCCCGGTCCTTTAGATGGACCCGTCCCCGGTCCTTTAGATGGACCCGTCCCCGGTCCTTTATTTATTTATTTATCTTCAGAAGGTTTTCGAACAGTAAGGTTATGAAGATTGTTGAGGGTCTGTATGAGACGCCTTTTCCCAGATAACCTACCGTTTGTGTTCTGGTTCAGACTCTGGCGGCGCTCCCAGACCAGGACTCCTTCTACGACGTGACGGACTGTCTGGAGCAGCGTGGGATGGAGGCCATTGTCCGTAAACACATGAGCAACAAGGCGACGGAACCGGACCTGAAGGCCCAGTTCTCAACCTATGAGGTCAGTTAGCTGGTTCTGCTTCCTGAATACAAACGGGTTTAGTATCAGAGGTGGGCGGAGTCACCAGAACTTTCCTCAGGAGCAGCGATGCACTTGGAGGAATATGAATGAAGTAAAATAAAAAGTCCAGAAAAGTTTTTTCCTTAAATGAGTTCCTTTCTGATTTGGTATTAAATACTGACAGGGTCATCATAGTGGGAGATTTTAACATCCATGCTGACATTGAAGGCGATAGCTTAAGAGCAGCCTTTAATGCTATCTTAGACACTATTGGCTTTGTTCAAAATGTGAATAGTCCCACGCATTCTGATCTTCATACTTTGGATCTTGTGCTGACATACTGCAGCGCCCCCTGCTGACCGGACGGTGTGTTTGTGTTTACAGACAGCTCTGAGGTACGAGGACGGAGATGTCGACGACTCCGCCCCCAAACCCCAAAAAGAGAGAAGAAAGAAGGTCGGCGCCAACCAAGAGGGCCGGAGGAGTCGCCGTTCATCCAATCAGAACCTGCCAGACCTCTTGTCCTCCTCCCCCACCTCTCTCGTCGTGTCCCCCTCCTCATCCACTGTCCTCTCCCCGTCCTCCACCGTATCCAGTCCCTGTCTCACGCCCACCCTCGGCAGCAGGCCTTCCTCCCCTCTGTCCTCTGGACTCAGCAGCTGCGCCTCCAGCCCGTCGGGCTCCCGGAGGGGCTCCCCTCTGCCCCCCACTATAGCCGTCATTAAGGACTTGTCCTCAGAACCAGAGTCCAAGGCGCCTCCCAGCGGGTAAGTCCACAGAACCGCTCGGTACTGGTCAGGCTCGGAGATACGCTGGCTTCACTGGGTTCTTTCTACATCTCCAAGTTGTCTGTCCGCTTTTCTGTCAACTTCCCTCTGGTTGTTTTAGACCAAGTGTCTGGTTCTGGCCCAGTTCTTTGATCCTTAGTTGATCTGAAAAAGCAGCAGCCTGGGCCGTTACCATGGTAATGCATGAATAATCACCTGGTGAAACAAGTTGAGTTTTTGAACTTCAGCGTTTGCAGAAGCAAACCTTCAGATCTGAGCTAGCATTGGGGTTTGGACCTCGGTTCTCTGAGCTTCTGATCTCATTGTCTCCATGGATTATATTCAGTCCAGTGCTCCCAGTGATGAGACCTGATCTGGGACCAGAACCTGTCTGGGACCAGAACCAGACACCTGATCTGGAACCAGACACATGGTCTGGGACCAGAACCAGACACGTGATCTGGGACCAGAACCAGACACGTGATCTGAAACCGGAACCAGACACGTGATTCGGAACCGGAACCAGACACCTGATCTGGGACCGGAACCAGACACGTGATTCGGAACCGGAACCAGACACGTGATTCGGAACCGGAACCAGACACGTGATTCGGAACCGGAACCAGACACGTGATTCGGAACCGGAACCAGACACGTGATTCGGAACCGGAACCAGACACGTGATTCGGAACCGGAACCAGACACCTGATCTGGGGCCGGAACCAGACACGTGATTCGGAACCGGAACCAGACACCTGATCTGGGGCCGGAACCAGAACCTGCCCCCCTCTGCTGGTTCTCCTCCTTTGCTCCTGGGTGTCCTACTGTGGGTTTGCTGTCCCTGTTCTAACCACCGATGTCTCCCTCCTTCTCCTCTCTCCGTCTCCCTGCTGTGGGGCCTGTCGACCACTAGGAGTCGCTCTTTCCTCAGCCATCACATGTCCGCTCTGGGTCTGAGCAGGAAGTCACGGCTGTTCTCCAAAACCAGCTCCATCTCTGAGGAGCCTCCGTCCGGCTGCAGGTCTGTACCTCTGAGACCGACCTCAGACGGGCCTCCCAGCGCCCCCTGCAGGCCGATCAGTGCTCTGCAGATTATGTGGAGGGTAGAGGGTCACTGTAGGTTTTGCAATTAGACCGACTCAGATGTTTTCATTTAGATTTGTTTTATTTGATGATTTTTGGGTTGAAGAGAACCAGGTGGCAGGAATGAACTGAGTTTGGATTCTTCAAGGTCTCTATATGTGCCTGGCTCATTGTGTGTGTGTGTGTGTGTGTGTGTGTGTGTGTGTGTGTGTGTGTGTGTGTGTGTGTGTGTGTGTGTGTGTGTGTGTGTGTGTGTGTGTGTGTGTGTGTGTGTGTGTGTGTGTGTGTGTGTGTGTGTGTGTGTGTGTGTGTGTGTGTGTGTGTGCAGCAGCTTGCCTCCTTCGGACCTCCCGCCTCGGGAAAAGGAACCGTCCCCGGAGCAGCCTAGCATCCAGCCGGAGCCCAAACCTCGTCTAAAGTAAGTCTCCTGATTTTCACGCTTGTTTATTTTGGGTCGTTTCTAGAACTGGTGTAACTGGAATCCAGTTCAACCAGAACCAGCTGAAAATCTACATTTTATGGATAAATGTGGGATTTTCTAACCATTTATACTCTGGATCATTTCCTGTTTTTCTCTCAGTTCTTAAATTTTTTTTTTTTTTCCTGAATCTTTCTGGGATCGTCTCGTTCAGATCCAGTCCATCTCTGATTCACTTCCGGATTTTTCTGAAACCATTTTGGGTTTAATTCAGATTATCTTGATTCTGTTGGTTTTTGGTGTTTGATCTCTGGATTACTGCAGCTTGAATTCTGCAAAGTTTTTGGTGAATCTTTCTGGATCTTTATTTCATCACAAAATCTGGATTTAAAAATGTTGAATCCTTCCTTCAATCATTTTTCTCTCTGAAACTCTAATTGTTTCCTTTGATTTCTGGTTCTACTCATTCATTTTGTTGTTAATAGCAGAACTATATCATCTAGATTGGTTTCAGGTGGCTCATGTACGTTTGATTATTTTTTAGAGGAAAGGATCTCTGGTTTGTTTCCAATCTTTTGTTGTTTAAACGAGTACGTTTTGCTGCATTATTGTTGTAAATATAAAAACCCGTTTTTACAGATGAAAATTTTAAGAAAAAAAAACTACAGAAATAAGTAGAAATTTAATTTTTTCTGTATCTTTTTTCAAATAGAAATGCATCTTGACCTTTTGCTCTTTTTTTTTCATTTACAAATTCATTGTTCTTGGTTTTACAACAATTATGAAACAAAATTTAGTCCGTATTTTTCCATATTTTCCAGAAGAAGTTGTATTTTTCAAACAGGATGTTTCCAAAAGTTTTCTTTTAATGTGTGTTTTTTTTCTGGATATCTTCTGGATCTCCATGGTTACGTCGTTTTATCTGGATTTGATCTGAAATCTGGATCAGCTGTTAATTAATTAATTGAACTGATTTTGGTGAAACAGTTTGAAATGATCTCAGTTCAACTTTTACTGCATTTAATACAAATTTGCATCAGAAAAACTCATAGAAGAAACTGGATCCTCCTCCAGCTCATCCAATCACGTTGCTCCTCTCTCTCTTTGCTCTAACAGCATGTCTCTCGGCCCTCTCTCCATCACAGCGTTTTTAATGCTTTTCTTCTTCTTTCTCTCTTTCTTTCCTCCCTCCTTCCTCCACCAGCTCAGTGGAGACTGAGGAAGACTCCTGGTAAGTCCTCCTCCTCCTCCTCCTCCTGATGCTCAGCTGCATAAAACCAAAGCAAAGAGTTCTGGGTTCTGGTTCCAGTTCAGGTGTTAATTCTGAAGTTAGGGAACCAAACTAATGGATGCAGATGTTCTTCCTGTTCTGTTAAATCTTCCTCCATCTTGGGTTTGGCGCTGACCGGTTTGGGCTCTGACCGGTTTGGGCGCTGACCGGTTTGGGCTCTGACCGGTTTAGGCGCTGTCCATCTCAGGGCGGTTTAGTTCAGTCCTGTGAGCAGCAGGTAGGTGCAAACAGAGACGGGTTCCTGGTCTTTGGGCTTCTTCGGGTCTGTGAGGAGAGTTTATGCAGCTGAGCTCCTGCCGGTTCTGTCCGACATCGGGTCGGCGATGAGCCCAGAGGGCGTCCTGGTGGTTCTGAAGCTGTGGTACCGTGTGTGAGGTGTGTGTGTCGTGTCTCTGCAGCCCAGAGGAATATGTCGCGAGTCGGACCAAGCCGGTGTGGAAGAATTACGAGTAAGTACGGCCTCTGCAGCCCCAATGCATGCTGGGAGCTGCTGGGAGGCTCCGCTGGTTCTGTTGGGTTCTTGCATGGTGTGGTTCTGTGTGTCAGGCTGGTGCTGGTTCCGGATCAGATGGTGATGACGCGGCGATGATTTCAAAGTGGACGGGTCGGTTTTCCACAGGTGTTAAACGGTTCTGGTGTGGGTTCTGCTCCCTCCTGTCTGGGTTCTGGTTCTGTCCTGGTCCGTTGTGTGTCTGTGGTTCGGATCAGAACAATAGAAACTGATCAGAATTTCAGCTGTGTGATTTTTGGGGCGACGACTGCAGCCGCAAACAGCGGCCTGCTCCTCAGAACTGGACCGGTGCCATGCCCAGAACCGTGGCTGCAGAATCCTGTCCGTCTCCAGGAGGAAACCCAAAAGTTCAGCCTTCAGAACCTCATTAGGAACAAAGCAGGTTTCTCTTGGTCCAGTTTGGCTTCCAGCAGATCCGATCGGGATTAAATCCAGAACCAACAGAACCCGAACCCAGATCAGAAAACGGATCGATGTTTCACTTCCTGCTGCATTTGTTCTTGAACTGAAAGCTTGACCCAGACGGTGTTCCTCTATCAGAACCCGGTCAGGACCGCATGTCCGTCTCCATCCATGACATTTCATTAACGCCAAAGGTCAGAGTGATGGGTTGGCGGCCGCAGGGTCACATGGTTCAACCGGAGGTTTGCTTTAACCTGATTGCTTTGGTTTAACCCGTTCCAACTGGTTTGGTTTAACCCGTTCCAGCGGTCCCGGTCCGATTGCTTTGGTTTAACCCGTTACAACGGTCCCGTTCCGATTGGTTTGGTTTAACCCGTTCCAACTGGTTTGGTTTAACCCGTTCCAGCGGTTCCGGTCCGATTGGTTTGGTTTAACCCGTTCCAACGGTCCCGTTCCGATTGGTTTGGTTAAACCCGTTCCAACGGTCCCGTTCCGATTGGTTTGGTTTAACCCGTTCCAACGGTCCCGGTCCGATTGGTTTGGTTAAACCCGTTCCAACGGTCCCGTTCCGATTGGTTTGGTTAAACCCGTTCCAACGGTCCCGTTCCGATTGGTTTGGTTTAACCCGTTACAACGGTCCCGTTCCGATTGGTTTGGTTAAACCCGTTCCAACGGTCCCGTTCCGATTGGTTTGGTTTAACCCGTTCCAACGGTCCCGTTCCGATTGGTTTGGTTTAACCCGTTCCAACGGTCCCGTTCCGATTGGTTTGGTTTAACCCGTTCCAGCGGTCCCGGTCCGATTGCTTTGGTTAAACCCGTTCCAGCGGTCCCGGTCCGATTGCTTTGGTTTAACCCGTTCCAACGGTCCCGGTCCGATTGCTTTGGTTTAACCCGTTCCAACGGTCCCGTTCCGATTGGTTTGGTTAAACCCGTTCCAGCTGTCCCGGTCCGATTGGTTTGGTTAAACCCGTTCCAGCGGTCCCGGTCCGATTGCTTTGGTTTAACCCGTTACAACGGTCCATTTCCGATTGGTTTGGTTTAACCTGTTCCAGCGGTTCCGGTCCGATTGGTTTGGTTTAACCCGTTCCAACGGTCCCGTTCCGATTGGTTTGGTTAAACCCGTTCCAACGGTCCCGTTCCGATTGGTTGGGTTTAACCCGTTCCAACGGTCCCGGTCCGATTGCTTTGGTTTAACCCGTTCCAACGGTCCCGTTCCGATTGGTTTGGTTAAACCCGTTCCAGCGGTCCCGGTCCGTTTGCTTTGGTTTAACCCGTTACAACGGTCCATTTCCGATTGGTTTGGTTTAACCCGTTACAACGGTCCCGTTCCGATTGGTTTGGTTAAACCTGTTCCAGCGGTCCCGGTCCGATTGCGTGGTTTAACCCGTTACAACGGTCCATTTCCGATTGGTTTGGTTTAACCCGTTACAACGGTCCATTTCCGATTGGTTTGGTTTAACCCGTTCCAGCGGTCCCGGTCCGATTGGTTTGGTTTAACCCGTTCCAACGGTCCCGGTCCGATTGCTTTGGTTTAACCTGTTCCAACGGTCCCGGTCCGATTGCTTTGGTTTAACCTGTTCCAACGGTCCCGGTCCGATTGCTTTGGTTTAACCCGTTCCAACGGTCCCGGTCCCATTGCTTTGGTTTAACCTGTTCCAACGGTCCCGGTCCCATTGCTTTGGTTTAACCTGTTCCAACGGTCCCGGTCCGATTGCTTTGGTTTAACCTGTTCCAACGGTCCCGGTCCGATTGCTTTGGTTTAACCCGTTCCAACGGTTCCGGTCCGATTGCCTTGGTTTAACCTGTTCCAACGGTCCCGGTCCGATTGCTTTGGTTTAACCCGTTACAACGGTTCCGGTCCGATTGGTTTGGTTTGCAGTGGAAAACAAATTTGAATTGTTTTGCTTTAATTTTCTTCTGGTCCGGTTCTGATGTCCGACATTTTTTATATGACTAGTTTTACAGAAATAGAAAGATGCAAAAGGCGCCGCTTGGCAGAAGCTAAGGTAAAAAATATGAATATTTAAAGTTTAGATCAGTGGTTCCCAAAGTGGGGGGAGAGTGCCCCCTAGGTGTGGGCAGGTTTTAATAATGAGTGACCTAGTTTTTAATGTATTGATGTCAATAGCAGTCAACATAAAATAAAAACTTAAGATGTAATATTATTCTAATTTCTTTTAAATTATCTGATTTCGATGATGATGACGGGTCTCAGTCACGGATTAGCGGAATGCGGTCCGGATCCGGACCCAACCTGATTTCAAACATTTATAAATGATCCCATGTTGTCTAATTTCACTTGCTCCTCTTCTCCAGTTAATACGGTAAAGCCCTGGGGAGCGTCCGGCTCCAGGCTGCACGTGATCCAAATGAGCCAATGAGCTGTCAGTCTGGGTTGCTGCTGCTGCTACTTTTAGACACAGCAGGCAAACCTGTGGCAAGCCGGGCGATGGGAAAGAAGGAGAAGACCATGAGAAAAAGAGAGCAGAGAAAGTGTGGACTGCTGGAAGAACTGCGGTGAACTGGTGAAAGAAAAGTGAAATGGCGTGCTCAAAGATGACCCTGCACATTTAGAGGATGTTTGGCTCAACCTGCTGCTGTGAAGCAGGATTCTCCACCATGAACAGAATCAACAATAAATCTGGATCCAGGCTCAAAATGAGCTCCTTGATATGTGCTTGAGAATGGCTTAGTCTCCGGTTAAACCCAGGTTTAAAGCCTTGCAGGGCAGCCTAAAGCCCACTGCCAACATTAAGACAGAAAAAAGAAAGAAAATAACAAACCATCAGTTCAGGGGTTTGAGAAAATATGGGAATATGGACCTCTATTGATTGATTTTCTTTATTCAGAGCCGCTGATTTTTAATTGGTTACTTCTGATCTAAAGCTTCTGGAAATTATATAAACTTAGGGGGAATATTTAGTGTAGAAGATATTTGGCAAGAACAGTCATATTTATAAAGTAAAATTTTAATTTTAATCAATAAATGAGGATAAATTAAATATCCCGGTCTGTTTTACTCAGATTTATTTATTATTCTGCTGTAATTCCTGGATGCAGAGATGTGAAGATGAACTAATTAATCATCTCTTAATACACATTTTAATATATTTCAACAAATTAAACTCATTTTTAAGCTTAACTTTTATTTCAGTCAAGATTAACTAAATAACAAATACAAGCCTTAAATGAGCCGAACAGCAATGTGTAGATATGATCTAGATGAGATACGTCTTTAACTGGCAGAGCTGAGAATTACTGAACCTTCTTTAGATTAACTTAAATGTAAGATTAGATATTTGAATTTAACAAACTACATTCTCTCCTTTTAAAAACCTTAAAAGTTTGTTTTCAGTCACAGAAAGTTTAAAGTTTAATTAATTCCCAACTTCTTCCCCATCATTCGGCTTCACCTGCTTTGAACCGCACTGCATCATGGGAAATGAGGGGTCAGGAAGGGGACGCTGGAGTAGGAATGTAAACAGATTAGAGGCTTAATATTAATTGGTAATTAATGATTCATTATATCATTTTTTTGCATCTGATTCACTAATAAAATCCACCTAAGCAAATTTCTTTGAGAAGTGATGCTGCAGCAGAACGGTGACTGGATCCAGAATCCGGTCCGGATTATTTCCGCTGTTTAATGGAGGCTGCAGGATGAACTTTCTCTGGTTCTGTTCGTAAATATGAACCCATTAATTTCCTCCAGTTCTCAGCTAATCAGAGCCCAGCTGTACTGGGAGGCGGAGCAGCATCAGCTTCTCTGATGGTTCTGCTGTACAGTCTGACGGTGGCCCCATGCTGTGTAGCACCTTTTTTTAGGGGTGATTCAGGAAATGTCTTCCTGGATTAACTGGATGTTGGTTTGGATTAATTGAGCAGAAAGTTCCCACCAGAAATCTGACAAATCAGGATCAGAGAATGTTTTTAGAAACCGGATCAAACCATCAAACTAATCCCAAATCTACTTCCTCCTGGCGGTTTAAGTCCCGCCTTGTCTCACATGGTCACTTCTGCTCACAGAGACGGCTTCCTGCGCAGCCTGACAAGAACTCAGCGGGAGAAGAGTAAAAGGAGCAAAGATCCAAGCAGATCGCAGCCGCCCTTTTCTGACGATAAAACTCAGAGTTCAAAGACGGAAGCTGAGCCGAGCGACGGCACGCCGCCTGAACGTCCCGGTGAGTCTGAAGCTCCGCCCGTTTGTCAGAGACAGAAAGGGTCTGAATGTTGGAAGAAATCCACTTAAAGTGTGTTTGTTCAGGTTCAGCATCCAGCAGCTCGGGAACAAACTCAGACACCCGAAATGATCCAGGTGAGAAACCACAGTACCCACAATGCCATGCAGCGTGCCCCCATGTTGATCTGCAGTTTCAGTCTGTCTGGATAGGCTTCCTCTCAGCCTGCGCTCTGAGAGGGAGAAGAGGAGGAAGTCCGGATGATAATCTCCCCTTTATGAAGCTGAATGGCGTTCCTCAGGGTTCCATCTTGACACCACTGTGGTTTATCGGACGCGTTTCTTTAAAGTCAGTCGGTTTCTTCAGCTCGCTGTTGTGATGCTGCGTCCACACCAGGCTCTCCATCAGGAGGTCGTCTCCTCTAACCACTGCCCATGCAATCTAAGGCAGACCATTTTCAGTTATAATTTGGAAGCTACTAAAGTTTCTAATTATGTTGTTTTAATTGGTCGGCAGCAGCGGCCGGTGGAGTTTTCTCCAGGGGGGCTATAAATTTAAAATAGACGTAGACCAAAAACCAATCAAACTTATACTAAGTTTTCACACCAGTATATTTAGATGAATGCCAACAACAAAAAAACATTATGAAAACACTTTATAAACAAAAAAACATATATTTTTTTTGTTTTTTTATTCTTTATTTTGAACATGTAAGAGAAAAACAATAAAACAATGTTTAAAAACATTGGAGAGAAAAACAACAAACAAGGTACCCTCCTTTCCCAAATTATACCTCTATTACATGTGCGAAAAGGAGTAGGAAGAAGTAAAACTTATGTACTCCTACCCCTTTAATTCTTGTATTTCTTCAATTTACAGTATTTATAATTATGTTGCTATATATATCCATATAAATACATACCTACCTACACATATACATACATATATACAAATAAACAAAACAAAAAACACAAACAAAACTTACTACAATGCTTCTCTATACCTTTTGAAAATAATTTCTTTGTAAATTTTTTTGATGCATTGGTTTACTTTTTGAGCATAAATCTGCCGTTCTGAGGCTGTGAAGGAAAATCTGTTTTGCATGGTCCAATATTGTGCTAAAAACCTAAAAAAAAAAAAAAAAAACAGTACCAGTTTAATAATGGGAAAGCTATTGTTTAGCTTTATACTTTATTTTAAATATATAAAAACTATTTATTTTCTAAGAATGTTTTTAAGAGCAACAATGCAAAATAACAAACATCTAGAAAAAATAGACTATATTCTGGTATTTTCTATGTGAATCCCAGATTGTTCATTCTTCTTTTCTACAAAGTGCTTTAAATCAGTCCTAGCTGTCTTTATCCACGCTGGATCAGATCCTGACATTTGAAAAAGGAGGCAGGGAAAGCAGGATAAAGCATTAGCCTCGCTGCACGCAGTTAGCCTCGCTGCACGCAGTTAGCCTCGCTGCACGCAGTTAGCCTCGCTGCACGCAGTTAGCCTAGCCTTGGAGCTAAACCAAGTCCTGGAAAAGAACAATTCTTGCACCATTTCTCTCTCCAACTCCCGCGACTCGACCTGCCAATCACCCGTAAAGCGTCTGCGCTGTGGCGGTGAACAAATGCACCTCCGATACCTTCTGTATTGCAGAGGAGCTGCTGCGCATGGACAACTTCTAATGAGAGTCGATGGGCAAAGATTTTTGTGCCCTAGGCCAGAAATATGTCACCAATCCAACTAAAAATGGAATGATGCTTTACTACCGTAATTTTCGGACTATAAGCCGCGACTTTTTCCCATTTTTCGACCTTGCGGCTTATATAACAATGCGGCTTATCTATGGACTTTTACATCTAACGGCCACTAGGGTAATACCTAAATCTATGGATTTTACCATCCACCATGTTGACGTCACATTTGCTTCAACACACAAGTACGGTAGCCGCGCGGGGGAATGCGGAGGTCCTCCGGAAGCAGACTTCTACCGCGAGTGGTACGAGACAGAACAACAGCGAGAAAGTCGGACATTAAACATAAAAAAACCTGCGGCTTATAGTCCGGTGCGGCTAATAGTCCGAAAATTACGGTAGTCATTAAAGATTCATTATTTATCTTGCATATCTAAAACATATTAATATATTTTGAAATATTTTAAATGTTAATTTAAAATAAAATAAAAAAAAAGAAAAGAAAATTTTCTTTTTTTTTTTGGGAATATATATTTATTTTTAAATGTAGAAGAATTTGGAAAACTTTCCTGTTATTTGAATTTTAAATACAACCTGAGGTTCAATTATTGTTTGTTATTAATTATTCCATCCATCCAAACTCATTTTGGTCGCTTGTATTTGCGATCTTGTCCTTTCGGTAATTACCCAGATCTCCTGACCATAGTTGAGGGTGGGAACATACAGGTGCTGGTCATAAAATTAGAATATCATGAAAAAGTAGATTGATTTCAGTAATTCCATTTAAAAAGTGAAACTTGTATATTATATTCATACATTACATACAAACTCATATATTTCAGATGTTTATTTTGTTTAATTTTGATGATTACAAATGACAACAAATGAAAATCTCAAATTCATCATATCAGAAAATTAGAATATTGTGAAAAGGTTCAAAATTGATGGCCCCTGGTGCCACACTCTAATCAGCTAATTAACTCAAACCACCTGCAAAAGCCTTTAAATGGTCTTTCAGTCTAGTTCTATAGGCTACACAATCATGGGGAAGACTGCTGACTTGACAGTTGTCCAAAAGACGACCATCGACACCTTGCACAAGGAGGGCAAGACACAAAAGGTCATCGCTAAAGAGGCTGGCTGTTCACAGAGCTCAGTGTCCAAGCACATTAATAGAGAGGCGAAGGGAAGGAAAAGATGTGGTCGAAAAAAGTGTACAAGCAAGAGAGATAACCGCACCCTGGAGAGGATTGTGAAACAAAACCCCTTCAAAAATGTGGGGGAGATTCACAAAGAGTGGACTGCAGCTGGAGTGAGTGCTTCAAGAACCACCACACACAGACGTATGAAAGACATGGGTTTCTGCTGTCGCATTCCTTGTGTCAAGCCACTCTTGAACCACAGACAGCGTCAGAAGCGTCTTGCCTGGGCTAAAGAGAAACAGGACTGGACTGCTGGTGAGTGGTCCAAAGTCATGTTCTCTGATGAAAGTAAATTTTGCATTTCCTTTGGAAATCAAGGTCCCAGAGTCTGGAGGAAAAGAAGAGAGGCACTTCATCCACGTTGCTTGAAGTCCAGTGTAAAGTTTCCACAGTCAGTGATGGTTTGGGGTGCCATGTCATCTGCTGGTGTTGGTCCATTGTGTTTTCTGAGGTCCAGGGTCAACGCAGCCACATACCAGGAAGTTTTAGAGCACTTCATGCTTCCTGCAGCTGACCAACTTTTTGGAGATGCAGATTTCATTTTCCAACAGGACTTGGCACCTGCACACAGTGCCAAAGCTACCAGTACCTGGTTGAAGGACCATGGTATCCCTGTTCTTAATTGGCCAGCAAACTCTCCTGACCTTAACCCCATAGAAAATCTATGGGGTATTGTGAAGAAGAAGATGCAATACACCAGACCCAACAATTCAGAAGAGCTAAAAGCCACTATTAGAGCAACCTGGGCTATCATAACACCTGAGCAGTGCCACAGACTGATCGACTCCATGCCACGCCGCATTGCTGCAGTAATACAGGCCAAAGGAGGCCCAACTAAATACTGAGTGCTGTACATGCTCATACTTTTCATGTTCATACTTTTCAGTTGGCCAACATTTCTATAAATCCTTTGTTTTTATTGGTCTTCAGTAATATTCTAATTTTCTGATATGATGAATTTGAGATTTTCATTTGTTGTCATTTGTAATCATCAAAACTAAACAAAATAAACATCTGAAATATATGAGTTTGTATGTAATGTATGAATATAATATACAAGTTTCACTTTTTAAATGGAATTACTGAAATCAATCTACTTTTTCATGATATTCTAATTTTATGACCAGCACCTGTAGATCGATCAGTAAATCCAGACTCAGCTTCCTCTTCACTACGACAGTCCGATACAGCGACCGCATCCCTGCCGACGCCGCACCGATCCGTCTATCGATCTCACTCGTGAATAAAACCCCGACATACTTAAACTCCTCCACTTGAGGCAAAGACTCCATCAACCTGAAGGGGGGAGTCCATCTTTCTCCGGTGGAGAACCATAGCCTCGGATTTGGAGGCGCTGTTCCTCATAATTATTCAATTAAATAGTGAATTAAAAGCTCTAAACATCTGAAAACATTGAGATTAATGCTGATCTACCTACATGAATGCACCTTCCCACATTTCCTTGGAAATTGTGCCTTATAGATCAAGACAACTGAGAAATATTTATATTTAGAAATTGTAATTGAAATGTACTTATTGGAAAGTTAAGATTTTCTCTCCACCAGTGGGCGCTAAAAACAGGCGTCCTGGACTGACAGAAGCACTTAATGGGTGACCTTGCATTGCTGTTTATTATTGAATGAAATATTATTCTTTATCACACATATTGCATTTAAAAACTCCCCTCCTGATATGTTAGATAAGCTTATTTCTCATTTTCCATTTTGTACCTGCATGCAACAAGAGCAAAGTGAGTGGAGGAAGTAAGATCATGCCTTTGCTGAAAGTGAAAAGTAATTACTGTAATTTAATGCTGTGCTAAAATAAAATAAAAAAAAATTATAAATAAATAGAAATCTGAAGTGATCTTTAGCAGAATGAGTCGTCTGCAGCGTGTTTGTTGATGGAAGCTGTGATCAGGTTTCTCCTGGACTCACGTCTGAACTCTGATGTTTGCAGAAGCTCCTGAGCTTTTTGGCGACAAAATTCTTCACCTGAATAAGAGGTTTTTCTACTCCACTGACTCGGAGCTTCAGGACCCGAAGGATTCTGCTTCTGGTGCTGCTGAAGAGGAAGAAAAAAGCTGCACTGCCAGTGAGTTTGTCCCTCAGTCGCCGCAGTTCATCTCCAGCAATCAGGAGCAGAGTAATACCTCTCGGTTTGCTCTCCCTTCAGGCGAGGATGTTTCTGGACCCGTGTCAGAACGCCTGTCCTACTTCAGAGCGCGCTCAGTTGAGTCCAGTGGAACCAGTGGGACCAGCGCCTCCCAAAAGGCGGAGCTGGAGGGCCTGGAAGGCTCAGCCCAGGCGGCCCGGGCGCGGCTGGCCGAGGAGCAGAAGGTCAGAATCGACGTTCTGATGAGTCAAAGCGGGTCGTAGACGCGGAGCAACTAGACTGTGGCAGAAATAATCAGCCAATTAGCAGCGAAGTAAAAGGCTCTGAATCTTTAGAACTAAGAAATAATAAAAATAAAAATAATGATTAAACTTTATTGATCTCATACTGGAGAATAGTACCTCTGAATTTAACCCATGGCCTTGGGGGGCAGTGGGCTGCCAGGGTGGGGTTAAGGGTCCTGCTCAGAGCCCCCTAGTGGAGGCTGTGGGGATGGAACCATGTAACCTTCTCAGGGTCCCACTGCTCTAACCACTAGACCAACACTCCCCATTAATCAAGTTATGAGGAGTTAAATTATCTAATTTAAGTAGATCTAATATAATGAGTTCTACTAACATGAAACCTGATTCTGGAATTTATGTTCTTTAATTTTAATGAAGGGAAACAGAGAAACGGTTCCAGTTCAGAATCATCTGATTCATTTATTTACCCAGCGAGTCGCCTTTTTTATTATGTTTATTTCATGATCTGGCCCCTAAAACATAACGTGGCAGCAGCCAGATTCTATTCAGTGTATTTCTATAGCTCCAATTCACATCATGTCATCTCAGGTCACTTTCCAGTTCACCAGATCATCCAGTCAGATTGATTCAAAGTTTTCTATCTAAGGAAAACCAGCTGATTGCATCGACTCATTGACTCTTCAGCAATCCCTCACACTAAGCATGCTTGTAGCGACAGTGGAGAGGAAAAACTCCCTTTGAACAGGAAGAAGCAGAACTAGGCTCCAGCTGCCGAGGCCCACTGTGGTTCAAGGAGACAGAAGCAGACATAGAAAAAGAAGCATAGATCCAGATCCAGATTGATCTTTGTAGAACTGCGTTAAGTTCTACGTTTTTTGTGAGAATGAAAACTCTGATCTTGTGACAATCCTGCTCGCAGCGCAAGGTTACCTAAAAGAAGGGTTTATTCTAGTGGTGTTTCTGGCTGGATGTCCCTCTGTGTGATCAACATAATAACTTCAACATTCACTTCTAGTCCATTTATTTGGGCCATTTTTCTGTTAAAGTGTGTTGAAAACCTCTGAAAAGAGGTCTGGTGCTGATTAATTAGCATCAATTAGCTCGGTGATTAATCGATAAAACAGATTAATCGAATGTTCCGTTTATAAAAAGATCTAATTTAGGGAAAATCTACTTATTTTCCCCAATAATGCAGATCTGGGGCTTCTACAGGTCAGAGAAACCAGCTCATCACTTTTCGTCCTTAGTTACAGACGTAGCAGGTAACAAAGTACAAATACTTTGTTACCTTAAGTAGATGTTGGGTATCTATACTTTACTGGAGTCATTATTTTTTAGACAACTTTTTATTTCCACTCCTTAATTTTTTTTTCATCTTTCTACTCCTTATATTTTAGAAATAGACTCGTTACTTTTGTTTCATGCTAATTATCATTATGGCCTGTTGGTAGTTAAAAAAAAAAAAAAAAAAAAAAAAAAAAAAGGATTAAAATAATTATTTATGGACTTGTTGTTCACAACATAACAGAATAGTTTTTTTAAGAGGATGCAAAGTTACATTTATACTAGGGATGCAGGATATAATGGGCCCCCTATCGGTATCGGCCTTAAAACTGAATATGGGACATCGGCCCCCCCACCGATATTTAACCCGATATTTGATCAGCTTCTGAGTTTCTACTTCTTCTTCCTCAAAAACTTATTTTTTACAGACTTAAAAACTTCTAAAGACGAGGGAAAAAATATTGATCCATTAAAATATCCCAATATCTTCATATGCTGATATATTGCCATTTAAAAACACCATATCAATCTCTTTTACTAATGAAATATTGCTATATGTCATCGTTATGCTACGAAATCCCCCGAAAATTCACCAAATGTTGCCATATTTTTATATGTTGATATATTGACGCGGTATCGATCTATTTTACTAACAAAATCTCACAAGAATTTGCAAAATATCACGAGAGTTTGTAACAGAACGATGAAATTTCACCAGATTTTGAAAGTAAAATAGATCGATACCGCGTTTTTAAAAATCTATTTGATATCAGCATATGAAAATATATTTGAGTATATTATTTTTCAAAGTGTCAGAAATAGATAACAAAACTGCTATTTTCAATGACTACTTATTTTTGTCCAGCTTTAACATCGGTATCGATATCGGTTATTGGCTACATGAGTTTTAAAATATCGGCATATCGGATATCGGCCAAAATCCCAATATCGTGCATCCCTATTTACAGCATTACTATTGGTTATAAAAGGGTATTGCTGTACTCAGTATAATGTTTAAAGCATCTTTCCTAAACATTCTTTCCTGCATTACTTTTATTTTTTGTTTTAAAAATAGTCCTTTTACACTTTTACTGGAGTAAAAAGCTGAAGTTGATCCTCTAACTTCTATAAAATAGTTTAAACGGTAGGATTTATACTTCTAGTAATAAACATTATTAGGCTACTATTGACCCCTCTGCTTCTAAATTATAGAAATAAAAGTTTTTTTCTGGAAACTAATCTCTATTTTATCATGAAATAAAAGGCAGAGAAAATAAATGGATTAATTGGATTTGGTTGGGGAATTAAAAAGTGGAGATTAGATGTTTAAGCCACATCATCCTCCTGCTACATCATCAACCTTTCCTTCTTTCAGCTATAATTTAAATAAATAAATGAAATAAAAAGGTAAAATGCTTCAGATGGTTGGAAGTCGAGGGTTTGAAGTAGTTTTAGTCCAACTTTTCTATAATCTGGCTGAGATGTAAAGCTGAGGATGCAGGAAGCGGAGGAGGAACCGGTCTGAACCCAGAACCCTCCTCTGGACCGTAAACGCCTGCGTCTGCCTCTCTCCTCAGAACCGATCCGCCCGGCCGCAGAGCGGCGTGGAGGCGGAGCCTCCTGGCCGCCGCCTGGAGAAGATGGCGTCCGTAGGATCGGTGGACGTCTGGGACCAGAAGCAGCTGAGCAGCTCTGACCTTCGCATCAAAGACCTGGACTTCTCTGACCTGCTGGAGGACGAGGACAATGACGTCCTCGCCATGGACAACATCGACTCAACCAGCTCCGCCCCCTGTTTCTCTGGCGTCCCCCCTCCTCCCCCGCCTCCCCCCATGCTGGGTTCCGCTGCCCCTCCTCCGCCTCCTCCTCCCCCACCTCTTCCCGGTGTTCCTCCTCCTCCACCTCCTCCCCCTCCTCTCGGTTGTGGTATTCCTCCCCCTCCGCCCCCCCCGGGAGCTCCTCCTCCCCCCGGCTTGTCCTCAGGACTGATGAGGAAGAAGAAGACGGTGAAGCTGTTCTGGAAGGAGCTGAAGCAGGCAGAAAGTCCTCAGAAGTGTCGCTTCGGTCGGGGGACGGTGTGGGCGTCTTTGGACAAGGTGGAGGTGGACACGGCCCGCCTGGAGCACCTGTTCGAGTCCAAAGCCAAGGAACTGCCTGCTGCTAAGGTAACTAAGAGCTGGAGGGGGTTTCTCACCTGCTGCAGGAGCAGGGATCGACTAGAGCGCCCCCTGATGACGGAACAGAAAAATAAAACCCAACCTTCCAGTTGGTAGCATCTGCCTCTTTGATCTCTGATTATTCCCTGATTGCTGATCGCCTGTTGGTAGAACCGCCATATTGGTACTCCCTAGTTAGACCGGTCGCAGTGTAAACAATCCGTGCGCTACAGCATCGAACAAACACGATGTTCTCATTTTCAGCTTAAGACTTTTAAAATAAAGATAAATTCATCACTTTGAGCATCAGTAGATTAATTTAATTTAGAATAAAACAATCGGCCAATCACATTGCAGAGTCATTATGAAGTCTATAAATCATGTAATATAACATATTATACAAATCTATCATCATAAAATTAATATGTTAATGGAGCAGATTAATATAAATGAACCAAAATGGCTAAATCTATTTATTACATTTTTATGATAGTCACATCTTACATATAATTTCAAGATTTCACATCAAGACTGAATTAAAATTACATGTCTGTTAATGCTATAGCATATAATATATGCATGCTATATACCTTCATGCTGTCTGTGCATTAGCCTTTAAAATATTTTCCCTCACTATAACATGCAATATAATTCAGCAAATAACTTTTTTAAATGAGAAATACAACAAACACGACAAAAGTAGCAGCGTCACCCACTTCATAAAGAATTTAACAGTAAATTACTTTCTATTTTCTTACATTAGACACAATTTCAATGGCTAATTTAGTCAATATCTTCAAGTCGGTCTGAGATAGCCAGACTAATTTACGTTATTTACTCTACTATAGGTAACATCGGCGTATAAATGACTGAAATGACATGTGGATCTTCTTCCTACAGCCAGAAAACTGCTTGTTTTTGCAGCCACATGCTGCACAGGGAGGCATTTTTAGGGCACGTCTCCATAGGAGTGGGGAGTACCAATATGGCGGCCGGATGTCTCCATGTTTAGAGACAGAATGTTAAGAAGTCCAGCTGTTATCAACAGTTTATAATTGTTTATGCATATTGTGAATAAAACCCTTCTGTGAATGTTTTCCATAACTAAAGCACATGAGTGGAGGTAGGATACTGCTTATGTTCCCAGACGGTAAATAAGGAAGTAATGGAGATAAGCATGTCAACAACTCCCAGGTCTAAAAAGAAAGAATAGTAAAGGTGGTTTCTCAATTCACTAGAACACGAGTACGGAATCGTGTCCTCGCCAAGTATGTTCTTGAGAAGAACACAGATAAGTCTGGACTCTGGGAGAACGGGAGCATAAAATGAGCCTATTGGCACAGAAGCGTTCTGATGACATCATCACACGCTCAACTCGTCTGGAGCTGCATTTCACCTCCTGTTATTAATAGACTCTAGATAATAATAAATTCTGACTTTTTTCATTTATTTGGGGAATATTAATGAACACAGTCAGAAAAACACAAATCAAATGAACATTTTACCAAATAGAGTAAAAAAAAAAAATCTTCATCAGAGCCAGCAGTCCTTCACACACGGCTATGCTGAGAGAGGGCCGCTGCAGACGGGCTAACGTTAGCCCTGGCTGCTGCAGACAAGCTAACTTTAGCCCTGGCTGCTGCAGACGAGCTAACGTTATCCCTGGCTGCTGCAGACGGGCTAACGTTAGTTCTGGCTGCTGCAGACGAGCTAACGTTAGCCCTGGCTGCTGCAGGCGGGCAAACGTTAGCCCTGGCTGCTGCAGACGGGCTAACGTTAGCCCTGGCTGCTGCAGACGAGCTAACGTTAGCCCTGGCTGCTGCAGGCGGGCTAACGTTAGCCCTGGCTGCTGCAGACGAGCTAACGTTATCCCTGGCTGCTGCAGACGGGCTAACGTTAGTTCTGGCTGCTGCAGACGAGCTAACGTTATCCCTGGCTGCTGCAGACGGGCTAACGTTAGCCCTGGCTGCTGCAGACGGGCTAACGTTAGCCCTGGCTGCTGCAGGCGGGCTAACGTTAGCCCTGGCTGCTGCAGACGAGCTAACGTTAGCCCTGGCTGCTGCAGACGAGCTAACGTTAGCCCTGGCTGCTGCAGACGAGCTAACGTTAGCCCTGGCTGCTGCAGACGGGCTAACGTTAGCCCTGGCTGCTGCAGACGAGCTAAAGTTAGCCCTGGCTGCTGCAGGCGGGCTAACGTTAGCCCTGGCTGCTGCAGACGAGCTAAAGTTAGCCCTGGCTGCTGCAGACGGGCTAACGTTAGCCCTGGCTGCCATTACCCTCCAAGCTCCGCTGGTTACTAAACTCAGAAAAAAAAATAAAAAATGACGCATTAAATCAGTAAATGGGCCATATAGTGACGCTTCAAAGTATTATATCTTCCCATCAAATGATCTTAAAACATACTTTTATTGAGCAACAGCAGCAGAAAAGAGAACTTTCAATGGAGCGCTCCAATAGAAGCTGTGTGCTGCCGCAGTGCATGCTGGGACAGCGGTCAATCTCAAGAACGGACAAGTCAGCTCTGATGCATGCTGGGTAAAGGAGGACTTTGTCCGTTCTCGGCCTGCTGTTCTTGTGAATAGGAACAGTGCTAGGGCTGAGGCTGATGACGTTTCACCACAACGCACAAGAACACATAGTGAGAAACGGCCCTAGATTCAACCTGAAAAGTGAAAAAAAATTTATCCCAAGAGGGATTGGACTTGTGGGCTGGTTATCGTCACCCAGCAGTTTGTCACACCGAGCTTTCTGCCTAATATTGAAGCGTGGTCTGCGCTGTTATTCCATGCCACAACGCCAGAGGGCCAATCAGGAACTAGCTGTGGGTCTAGATACGGTCGAGGCGGTGAGGAAGTGGGGGCAAGTTTGTGCGACAACGGAGGGACATGAGGGCCAAAAAGAGCGGGGATCCAGGTGGGAAAAGGGTCCCAGCGTTCTCGCGCACCTCGCTCTGCTAGCTGCTCCATCTTCACCTGTCGTTTTCCACAATGGCGGTAAGACAAACAAAACCAGCCGGTAAGGAACCAAACAGGAAATACGCATAGAGTAGAGCGGATGTAGACTGACCAATCAGAGGCCTCCTGTCTGCGATCACCTACAATTTGGCCAGACAGCCTGGTTTCTGAGCATAAACCAGACGATAGATATGGGCGGGATAGTTCAAGTGGTACGTAACCCGTGTCGTAAACAGGAAGCCTGGGTTTGTATCCCGGCTGGGGGAATGAGCTGCCAGTGGGGGTCCTTAGGCAAGGACCCGCTTTGGGGAGTAGCGGCCTGCTGGTTGTGGTACTGCACTTGGAATCCTGAGGTTCTGAGTTCAAGCTCCCACAGACCAAGACCTAAACCTAAACCCACACTGCTCCCCACTGAAGAAAAAAAAAGATGGCACTTAGAACCTTTTCTGTGGAGTATTCTCTAGAATTTAGAGTTTGTCTTCGACCACATCGAGCTTCACTGGGCCGCATGGTCGGGCTCTTAAGTAGCTGCTTTATATGTCGGCATCTGACTTTCTGGTAGTTCTGTGGTTCTGCCAGTAGATGGCACCTCACCTGTTTAGGATCGCTCATCGCACCCCCTGCTGAAATGCTATTTATGCTCAGAGAGAACGACTGTCACGATGAATATGACCTTATTAATAAGGATCAAGTGTTTTGTGAATTCTGCGCGTTAAAGAACCTCTATAGATGAAGCCGTCAGTTTGACTCTCTCCTCTCTAGAACCTCTCCTCGTCTCTGACCCGTTTCTCTCCTCTACAGAAAGGACCGGAGACCAAAAAATCAGAGATTCTGGTTCTGGATCCAAAGAGGAGTAACGCCATCAACATCGGTTTGACCGTCCTGCCTGCCGTCCACGTCATCAAGGGCGCCATCCTCAGCTTCGATGAGTTCGCCATCAGCAAGGAGGGGATCGAGGTGCTTCCCGTCTTCTCGTGGATCAGAACATCTGACCCGAGCGTGACGGACCTGGATCTTCATGCCGTCTCTCTCTCTGTCCTGAGCAGAAGATCCTGACCATGGTTCCCACTGAGGAGGAGAAGCAGAAGATCCAGGAGGCTCAGATGACCAATCCTGACGTCCCCCTGGGAACAGCAGAGCAGTTCCTCCTTACCTTGGCCTCCATCACTGCCTTGACCCCCCGCCTGCAGCTCTGGTCTTTCAAACTGAATTATGAGGTGCTGGAGAAGGTGAGCGATCCGACCGATCCACAAAGTCTTCGTCATGGAGATCTGTTTTTTTTTTTCTGAGATCTAGAAGAAAAGGAGCCTCAGAGCTTAGGTCGGCTCTATGTCGCCCCCTGCAGGAGATCGCAGAGCCGCTGTTTGACCTGAAGCTGGGCATGGAGCAGCTGGCGTCCAACCAGACCTTCAGGAGGATCCTGGCGACTCTCCTCGCCATCGGAAACTTCCTGAACAGCAGCAATGTAAGGAAAACGCCGCCAATCAGATACACATGAGAAGATCCCGACGTTACGGCCGTTAAATTAATTGATACTTCGATATAATCGATTCTAGAGAATTCAATTAATAAAAACTTTCAGCAGAATCTCCACACCATAAAAATCTGGAAGTTTTGCTAAAATGTCAAGTAAAGGCAGAAAAAAAACATGCAAATCTTTTAAAGGAGAAGTCCGGTCAGCGAGGAATAATCGATGGATCGTTATTTATACGTAAAACTAAAACGTTCGCGGTGATTTAATGCATTAAGCGTTAATCAGTAAAAAACTAAAAATGATCATTTCCATTCCGATCACTGAGTCTGGGAGCGGCCATCTTTGCCCAAATATAGTAGCCCAAATACAGTAGCCCCTCCCTCCTGCCATCTTCCAGCAGTGACGTCACGGTGCGGTAAGCCTAGCGCCATTCTCCCCGCTTTCCAAGCTAAATCAATGGGAACTACTAGACACATCTGCAATCAACAACAATTATTGAAGATTTCCAGAGGACTTCACCATTGAAATTCACCAGAGCTATAGTGAAACTGACAATGCCCACGTGCATGGCAGCTGGATGCTGGAATACATCGGGGAAAAGTGAAAAAAAGAGTTATTCCACCTTTCTGATTCCTGATCCTCCACGGACGGGTTGGTCGTTGGATCGCCAACTTGAAGAGGGAGGATTTGCCATCGAACTTCTGGCCAGAGAAAAAACCCGTAATATGTAGCCAACATTTGGAAGAAGAATGTTTTCAAGATGACTTGGATAATAGCGCGTTGTGACAAACACCAGATACAGCACTGGGACTTGATCAACAGCCGATACCGCACCGTGACGTCACTAACCAGTAGGTGGCAGTAGTGTTCTTTGACAAACATGGATGCCTCCAGTAAAGCACATTCACATGAAAATTACTCTGAATTAAAAACACTGATCATTTATTGAACAGGATGGAATCATTTAATGTTTAAAGAACTTTCAGACGTTTGAATTCTGAATATGAACGACTTTTCCTTTAACCAACAAGATAAAACCAAAACTTCATCAAGGAAACTTCTGAAGGCGGCGCTACATGCTAAGCTAACACCACAATCTATTTCAGTAAAGCTCCCAGTTTCTATGACCACTGAAACCTTCCAGGCAACCTAAGCTAACGCCGGGGGGGGGATTTACAATTAGCCAAAACTAAGCAGTCGCCTAGGGCCCACGTTCCTGGGGGCCCCATAAAGCTTGGTTTACATGTATGGTTAATACAACTATTCCTTATTTGTGCACATTAATTATGCACTCAGTGTCCACCATATTGGATCAGTCCATTTGCTGCACATGTTCAGACAGCAGCAAACCATTTGAAAACAAACTGCGGTAAGTCTTTAGTCGCTATATTTAGCCACTTTTCAGACCCCTCTAGCACTTTGATTTCTAAAAAGCTCCTAGCGCCAAATCTAGAGACTTTTTTCTGCTACTGGAGACTTTGGAGACAACATCTAAAAGCAGCGAACTCTGCTCTCCAGAGCGAGTAGATTGGTAACCCCGCCTCCTGCTCTCCTCTATCTTGTCTGCTGTCATGATTCATGCAGCTATTATTTCATCCAAATGAAAAATGGAGAACAGATAAGCAGATCATGGCTTGTCTACAGTGAAAAGAAGGACTGGGTTATTTACTTTGGCCTTTTTGGAAACACAGGAAGGAGCAATCAGCTAAGTGAGCTTAGTGCTTGGAAAAAATCTTTCATTCCTTTAGAGACAGCATGAAAAGTCAGCTGAGTACAAAACATAGAGAGGAAAACAAGAAGAAAAGGGACAAGAAGAGAGGGACACAACCTAGAACAGATAATGGATGTCTATTCTATTAACATTTATCTATCTGGAGAATGGGGATGTTTTATGTCTTCTCTTCAGGGGCCCCCTGCCTGTCTTTGCCTAGGGCCCCATATTTCCTAAAGCCGCCCTGGCTAACGCTAGCTGTTATTAGCTGGAAGGACAGCCTGATGGCTGCGGTGGGAATCAGATCAGCTGACGGCTCAGTCAAACGCACTCATCCGTTTTTAATAGTGACGTTATTAAATGCTAATGTGGCTAATAAAACACGTTCTGGTGCAGCCTGGCTGTAGCTGACTACTGGAGCGGGAATAAAACCTCCTGCTTTAATCACTAAAGAAATGATGAAGCTAAATGAGCAGAAAGTCAAATGAAGCAAACGATCCACATTTATTTTTGGTAAATGGGAGACAGAGCATCACGTTTTGGGAGAAAAGGATCCATAATTCATCCATCAGTCGTAAAATTTATCAGGAGCTAATTGACGGGTAAATGGAAGTAAACAGTGGACCATTAAACAAAAGCAAATATAATAAAATAATAGTTATTGAATCAGCTTCATGGTTCCATACGTGATATTAACACTTTGACTGTTTCTCTAAAGGAAGACCAAAACCTACGGAGGGCTGGAACTGCCACAATCAGAATTAAAAGCAGTAATATAAACCTATCCCAGTTAGAAAACAGATTTAAAACTAAAAGGTGATATTTATAAATCTACCTGCTGCCGGCCGGTTAGCGGCTTTTACATTCGACTCTCCAGGAGAAAAGCGGTGTCCTCCATGTTGCTTCTGAGTTCAGCACCAACAGACTGAGTGACCTTCGCTCTCCTTTTTCTTCTTCTATTATATTTTATTTTTTCAGCTTGGATCTAAGAAACGTAATGCTAAGAAACTCTAACCAACTGTTCTTATTGGTCCAGAAATGTGTCAGTTTATAATAACCAGAGGTAACTAGATATATATTGTTTTACCCATAAAAATATATAAAACTATAGAAATTTGGTGGTTTTGAAAAGTTGTTTTTATGAAAAGCTTTATGTAACTTTGTCCTTTGAAGAATATTCATTGTATTTAGAGAAAATCTTTTATTTTTTTCCAGATTTTTCCTGATATAGTAGGTTTGAATCCGACCTGTGGTCCTTTGCCGCATGCCCCCCCTCTCTCGTACCCCCTTTCCTGTCAGCCCATTGTACAAAAAAAATCTCAAGATGCATACAAGCAGCCTTGTAGTGATTTATTTGCTTTAATTTTCATTTTTCAGTTTCAATATTCCAGAGAGTTGGCCGTCCTTGTTTATGTCGTCCTAAAAGTGAATTTAATGTTGATCAAACTCTAAATATTTTTAAATATTCTTTTTTTCTCTTAACTAAAAAATGAATTTCCCTAGAAAGAAAATTGCTACGGTATTAAAATGGTACTGAATGTTTTTCCTAGCATCAATATCAGGTTAACATTTTACTGTCATGCCAAACCGGATCCGACGCAGCAGTTCTGGGAACAGGGGCGAATTTAGGAAATTTGGGGCCTTAGGCAAAGACAGGCAGAGGCCCCTCTGAATGGAGAAAACGACATAAAACAGACCCATTATACAGATAGAGAAATTTTAATAGACATCCATTATTTGTTCTACCTTTTGTCCATCTATTATCCATTTTCTTACCGTTTTCCTTCATGTTTTCTTTTGTCCCATTTTCTTTTCATATTGGCGGTGTACTCAGCTGACTTTTCATGCTGTCTCTAAAGGAATGAAAGATTTTTTCCAAGCACTAAGCTCACTTAGCTGATTGCTCCTTCCTGTGTTTCCAAAAAGGCCAAAGTAAATAACCCAGTCCTTCTTTTCACTGTAGACAAGCCATGATCTGCTTATCTGTTCTCCATTTTTCATTTGGATGAAATAATAGCTGCATGAATCATGACAGCAGACAAGATAGAGGAGAGCAGGAGGCGGGGTTACCAATCTACTCGCTCTGGAGAGCAGAGTTCGCTGCTTTTAGATGTTGTCTCCAAAGTCTCCAGTAGCAGAAAAAAGTCTCTAGATTTGGCGCTAGGAGCTTTTTAGAAATCAAAGTGCTAGAGGGGTCTGAAAAGTGGCTAAATATAGCGACTAAAGCGCTAAGTTGGCAACACTGCTCTTTGCATGGTTTGTTTTCAAATGGTTTGCTGCTGTCTGTTTGGACCTTTCTGAACATGTGCAGCAAATGGACTGATCCAATATGGTGGACACTGAAGGGGGGGGCTGAGACACACTTAATATTATCAGCGTTCTGATGGCATTTTAAGGAAAGGATTTTTAGCAAAAACATAATGTGTGCAAATAAATAATAGCTGTATTAACCATAAATGTAAACAGTTTTATGCCAAAGGCAACTGCCTAGTTTTGCCTAATAGTAAAGCCGGCCCTGGCGGGGCCCCCGATCTGCCCATATTTTCTTTCCTTACTTTTTCTTTTTAATTTCATTCGCGATCTAAAGTAGCCGAAGGTAGAAAACAATCATTGTCAGTCTTGAAGGTAAGCACTGCCATCTAAGACAGACTGAACTCTGCTATTTAACAAGGAGACACTAAAAGTCTCAGTGCTTTTTATTCTTTTTATTAAAGGAATAGTCCACCCAAAACATGATTAGCCTTCATTTTCTACTCACCCCCATGCTGAACAACACTCTGGAGTACTTTTTTGATATCTCAAATGCATCTGGAGATCTGGGAGGCTTCTTGCTGTCTGCTGACATTCAAATAATGGAGGTCTATGGCGCCCGAGGCAGAAAGGTCCATAAAAGTCCACAAAAAACGTGTCAATATTCCTCCATACTGCTCGTCCAATGTATTCCATTCAGCGTCTGCTCTGCCGATAATGCAAGCGTAGAAGAAGAAATGTGCTGTTTACCTGTGCAAAGAAAGAAACAACGAAAGAAAAATGTCTGAGGACTTCAGTGTTGAGGAAGAGCATGAGTTCTTTGCCGAGCTGAATGCGCACTTTCATCTGGTTTGGTCTGCCGCGGTTTCCGTAGACTCGTGAACGCGCTTTCAGGAAATCCTATACACTACTGTTTATGCTCTAAAAACATTCTAAATGACTTCGTTTCGAGTAAATTCTGGACGCTACCCACTCAGGACACTTGGAATACATTGGACGAGCAGTATGGAGGAATATTGACACGTTTTTTGTGGACTTTTATGGACCTTTCTGCCTCGGGCGCCATAGACCTCCATTATTTGAATGTCAGCAGACAGCAAGAAGCCTCCCAGATCTCCAGATGCATTTGAGATATCAAAAAAGTACTCCAGAGTGTTGTTCAGCATGGGGGTGAGTAGAAAATGAAGGCTAATCATGTTTTGGGTGTACTATTCCTTTAAGATCTGAGGGCATCAAGAACAAATGGAACATCTTAAAGTCGTAGGGGAATCACATTTAAATGTCGAATCATTCTGGCTTAAACATGTATATAAATGTTCTCTTTATCAGACCAGATTGTCGCAAAATTTAGAAAATTCCTTTAAAAAAAATCCTGTCTTAAAATCTGTTTCTTTTTTCCCGTTATCTTCTGCAGGCCAGTTAGTTCTACGTCAGCCTGAACACCTAAATTCAGCTAATCATATATCAACGGTCATCTGTCAATCAAATGTTTTCGTCATAGCATCTTGATTCTTATGTCGCAGCTAATATACGCAACGGTTGAAACCAGAATCCTTTCCTTTCCCATTGAGTTGCGTCCCAGTGTTCACGGGGATGGACGTCTGTGTCTTCGGCAGGCGTAGAGCTAACAGAACTGGCAGCGTTGCGAGGCAAGGGCTCAAACATGTACGGCTGGAAGCCTTCTACACCAAACCAAGCTTCTGCCGCCCTGGCGTCCTCTTCCACAACATCTTCGTCCCCGCTTTCCTCCTCTAAATAAAAAATGGATGACGGAGGAGACTCATCCACGACCTTCGACCCTAAACTCTCCTCCTCTTGCATGTTTCCTCTGTCCATAGCGTTCCTTGACAGCGTCGTTTCTAAGTCACCAATTTAGTGCTACTTGGTCCCAATGGAATTTCCCATTGGGAACCTGCTAGCACTAAGATGCTAACTGGTTAGCAAGATGCTTCCGACAAACCGGCCACAACCAAACCTGCTTGCGATCCTTCCTTCACAACAATCCCGCCCCCTTGATAAACGACCAATCACATTCACTTTATTCACTGGTGTAAAGTCGGGCACCATTCAGGAGAATTCGGAAATGCAGCGGTTGGAACAGCCGCTTCCTTACGACTTTAAAAATGACTTTCGTAGAGGTTTTAGACACTGATTCAGAAGCTCTGACGGGCGCAGGGCCCGAGCTGATCTGGTTTCTACACCAGCTGCAGCTCTGACCTTCATCTGTTCCAGGCTAAAGGCTTCGAGTTGAGTTACCTAGAGAAGGTGGTGGAGGTGAAGGACACGGTTCATCGTCACTCTCTGCTGCATCACACCTGCAGCCTGGTGATGGAGAATTACCCAGAATCCTCTGACGTCTACTCGGAGATCCCCGCCATCACCCGATCCGCTAAGGTACCAGTTTTTTCATCTACATTGTCTCGTCTTCCTCTGTCCCCGTCCTCACCGCTCCAAATTTTCTTACAGGTGGATTTTGACCTGCTGGCGGAGAACCTGCTACAGCTGGAGCGGCGCAGCAAAGCATCATGGGACAACCTGAAGGTGATGGTCAAACATGAAACCAAGACGGCGCTGATGAACAAGATGACGGATTTCCTGAAGGACTGCAGGCACAGAATCGAGATTCTGAAGGTCGTCCACAGACGCGTCATCCACAGGTAACTGCTTTGTTCTGATCAGCCAGACCCAGAGGAGGCCTGTGGACTGACTCCTCCTCCTCCTCCTGCTGTAGGTTCCACTCCTTCCTGCTGTTCCTGGGTCAGCCAACCTCCTCCGTCCGAGACATCAAGGTCACCAGTTTCTGTCGGATCATCAGCGAGTTTGCTCTGGAATACAGAACCACCAGAGAACGCGTCCTGACCATCAAACGGAAACGAGCCCTCCACCGGGAACGCACCAAGACCAGAGGAAAGATGATCACCGAGGTAACGGCCCCTGGGGGGGTGGGGGGGTTACCACAAAGATTTTACCTTTGAAAAATAGAAAATTACCAAAAACCAGTCAAACGTTTACTAAGTTATCACCCCAGTATATTCATATAAATCCCAACAACAAAAAACATTATGAGAGCACTTTATAAAAGCAAAACATCATTTTATGTACAGGTTAATTTTTGAGCATAAATGTTGCCCTTCTGAGGCTGTGAAGGAAAATCTGTTTATTGCATGGACCAATATGGCGTCACAAACCTAAAAAAATAAAGTACCAGTTTAATAATGGAGAAGCTATTAGTCAGCTTTATGTTTTTTTAATATATAAAAACCATTTATTTTCTGAGAATGTGTTTATTTATGAGCAACTATGTAAATTAACAAACATGTAGAAAAAATAGACTATATTCTATTATTTTTTATGTGAATCCCAGATTGTTCATTCTTCTTTGCCTTTTCTAGAAAATGCTTTAAATCAGTCCTAGCTGTCTTTATCCAGGCTGGATCTGATCCTGACCTTTGAAAAAGGAGGCAGGGAAGCAGAATAAAGCCTTAGCCTCACTGCACGCAGTTAGCCTCGCTGCAGGCAGTTAGCCTCGCTGCAGGCAGTTAGCCTCACTGCACGCAGTTAGCCTCGCTGCAGGTATTTAGCCTCGCTGCAGGTATTTAGCCTCGCTGCAGGTATTTAGCCTCGCTGCACGCAGTTAGCCTCGCTGCACGCAGTTAGCCTCGCTGCACGTATTTAGCCTCGCTGCAGGTATTTAGCCTCGCTGCACGCAGTTAGCCTCGCTGCAGGCAATTAGCCTCGCTGCAGGCAATTAGCCTCGCTGCAGGCAGTTAGCCTCGCTGCAGGCAGTTAGCCTCGCTGCAGGCAGTTAGCCTCGCTGCAGGCAGTTAGCCTCGCTGCAGGCAGTTAGCCGCGCTGCAGGCAGTTAGCCTCGCTGCAGGCAGTTAGCCTCGCTGCAGGCAGTTAGCCTCGCTGCAGGCAGTTAGCCTCGCTGCAGGCAGTTAGCCTCCCTGCAGGCAGTTAGCCTCGCTGCAGGCAGTTAGAGCCTCGCTGCAGGCAGTTAGAGCCTCGCTGCAGGCAGTTAGAGCCTCGCTGCAGGCAGTTAGAGCCTCGCTGCAGGCAGTTAGAGCCTCGCTGCAGGCAGTTAGCGCCTCGCTGCAGGCAGTTAGAGCCTCGCTGCAGGCAGTTAGAGCCTCGCTGCAGGCAGTTAGCGCCTCGCTGCAGGCAGTTAGCTTCGCTGCAGGCAGTTAGAGCCTCCCTGCAGGCAGTTAGCGCCTCGCTGCAGGCAGTTAGAGCCTCGCTGCAGGCAGTTAGAGCCTCGCTGCAGGCAGTTAGCGCCTCGCTGCAGGCAGTTAGCGCCTCGCTGCAGGCAGTTAGCGCCTCGCTGCAGGCAGTTAGCGCCTCGCTGCAGGCAGTTAGCGCCTCGCTGCAGGCAGTTAGCGCCTCGCTGCACGCAGTTAGCGCCTCGCTGCAGGCAGTTAGCGCCTCGCTGCAGGCAGTTAGCCGCGCTGCAGGCAGTTAGCCTCGCTGCAGGCAGTTAGCCGCGCTGCACGCATTTAGCCGCGCTGCAGGCAGTTAGCCTCGCTGCAGGCAGTTAGCCTCGCTGCAGGCAGTTAGCCTCGCTGCAGGCAGTTAGCCTCGCTGCAGGCAGTTAGCCTCCCTGCAGGCAGTTAGAGCCTCGCTGCAGGCAGTTAGAGCCTCGCTGCAGGCAGTTAGAGCCTCGCTGCAGGCAGTTAGAGCCTCGCTGCAGGCAGTTAGAGCCTCGCTGCAGGCAGTTAGAGCCTCGCTGCAGGCAGTTAGCGCCTCGCTGCAGGCAGTTAGCGCCTCGCTGCAGGCAGTTAGCGCCTCGCTGCAGGCAGTTAGCGCCTCGCTGCAGGCAGTTAGCGCCTCGCTGCACGCAGTTAGCGCCTCGCTGCAGGCAGTTAGAGCCTCGCTGCAGGCAGTTAGAGCCTCGCTGCAGGCAGTTAGAGCCTCGCTGCAGGCAGTTAGAGCCTCGCTGCAGGCAGTTAGCGCCTCGCTGCAGGCAGTTAGCCCCTTGCTGCAGGCAGTTAGCCGCGCTGCAGGCAGTTAGCCTCGCTGCAGGCAGTTAGCCTCGCTGCAGGCAGTTAGCCTCGCTGCAGGCAGTTAGCCTCGCTGCAGGCAGTTAGCCTCGCTGCAGGCAGTTAGCCTCCCTGCAGGCAGTTAGCCTCCCTGCAGGCAGTTAGCCTCCCTGCAGGCAGTTAGAGCCTCGCTGCAGGCAGTTAGAGCCTCGCTGCAGGCAGTTAGAGCCTCGCTGCAGGCAGTTAGAGCCTCGCTGCAGGCAGTTAGAGCCTCGCTGCAGGCAGTTAGAGCCTCGCTGCAGGCAGTTAGAGCCTCGCTGCAGGCAGTTAGAGCCTCGCTGCAGGCAGTTAGCGCCTCGCTGCAGGCAGTTAGAGCCTCGCTGCAGGCAGTTAGCGCCTCGCTGCAGGCAGTTAGCTTCGCTGCAGGCAGTTAGAGCCTCCCTGCAGGCAGTTAGCGCCTCGCTGCAGGCAGTTAGAGCCTCGCTGCAGGCAGTTAGAGCCTCGCTGCAGGCAGTTAGCGCCTCGCTGCAGGCAGTTAGCGCCTCGCTGCAGGCAGTTAGCGCCTCGCTGCAGGCAGTTAGCGCCTCGCTGCAGGCAGTTAGCGCCTCGCTGCAGGCAGTTAGCGCCTCGCTGCACGCAGTTAGCGCCTCGCTGCAGGCAGTTAGCGCCTCGCTGCAGGCAGTTAGCGCCTCGCTGCAGGCAGTTAGCCGCACTGCAGGCAGTTAGCCTCGCTGCAGGCAGTTAGCCGCGCTGCACGCAGTTAGCCGCGCTGCAGGCAGTTAGCCTCGCTGCAGGCAGTTAGCCTCGCTGCAGGCAGTTAGCCTCGCTGCAGGCAGTTAGCCTCGCTGCAGGCAGTTAGCCTCCCTGCAGGCAGTTAGAGCCTCGCTGCAGGCAGTTAGAGCCTCGCTGCAGGCAGTTAGAGCCTCGCTGCAGGCAGTTAGAGCCTCGCTGCAGGCAGTTAGCGCCTCGCTGCAGGCAGTTAGCCCCTCGCTGCAGGCAGTTAGCCTCGCTGCAGGCAGTTAGAGCCTCCCTGCAGGCAGTTAGCGCCTCGCTGCAGGCAGTTAGCGCCTCGCTGCAGGCAGTTAGAGCCTCGCTGCAGGCAGTTAGCGCCTCGCTGCAGGCAGTTAGCGCCTCGCTGCAGGCAGTTAGCGCCTCGCTGCAGGCAGTTAGAGCCTCGCTGCAGGCAGTTAGAGCCTCGCTGCAGGCAGTTAGCCTCGCTGCAGGCAGTTAGCCTCGCTGCAGGCAGTTAGCCTCGCTGCAGGCAGTAAGCCTCGCTGCAGGCAGTAAGCCTCGCTGCAGGCAGTAAGCCTCGCTGCAGGCAGTTAGCCTCGCTGCAGGCAGTTAGCCTCGCTGCAGGCAGTTAGCCTCGCTGCAGGCAGTTAGCCTCGCTGCAGGCAGTTAGCCTCGCTGCAGGCAGTGCAACTGATATATCTATCAGTGTTACTCTGATTCATTCCTGATGAAAACAAAGATTAAACCTAATAAGACGTTTAAGATTAACCTTGACTTCAGCTTCCAAGGAGTCCTAGAGTTCACCCCCAAACTCTGCAGTATCCCGGCAACCACACAGTAACTGCGTTTCCATTAACCATCAAATTGCACAAAAAATTATCGTTTTTTTTTACGCTTCAGTGAGGTGATTTATTCATTTTTTCGTCAAACTTAAATCCTTATTTCGCATCACGAGTCATGTAATCCTGAACTGAACCGCCACGGGCAGCCATATTGGTACTCCCAATAGAGTGGCGCCATAGAAATGCCTACATGTGCAGCATTTGGCTGCAAAAGCAAGCAGTTTTCTGGCTGTGGGAAGACGCTCCACAGCTAATTTCACTGTCAGCGGCCGTACTAACCACGTAAATCCATAAATATGCTAATGTATCGTACAGTTTAGTTAGCAGCCTAACATTAGTCTGGCTACCTTAGACCGACTCCAATATATTATTTCTATAGCTCCAATTCACATCATGTCATCTCAGGTCACTTTCCAGTTCAACCAGATCATCCAGTCAGATTGATTCAAAGTTTTCTATCTAAGGAAAACCAGCTGATTGCATCGACTCATTGACTCTTCAGCAATCCCTCACACTAAGCCTAAAGATTTTTCATTTGGTGGATTTTGACGATGATCTTTGTCAGAGAGCTGCTCTCATTTCTGCTGTAGGGATGGATGTTCTGATCTTACTTTCCTGTCTACCTCAGATGGAAAAGTTTTCGGGAGCGGTGCCTCGTGAGGACAGCCCCTCTCCCGTCTCCACGGCAGCAGAACCGGGTTCCGATCAGGAAGAGGAGCACGAGAACATGAAGAACATGCTGATCAGCGACAACAGCCTGACTGTAAACCCCCGAGGCCTGAGGCGATCCAGAGCAGTTCGCAGTAAGAACTCTGAGCCGCATGGTTCTGCTCAGAATCCAGTCAGAACAAGCTGCTCTCTGATTGGTTCTGAAAAAAACCCAAACGAAAAAGATGGAGCCACAGTCTCCAACAGCTTCTTATGTTGTGGATGGAAAGAAGTTCTGGTTCTGCTGCTCTGTCAGCTGAGCAGGTTCTTCTCGTGGTCCTTAGGTACCACAAGAACAGGCCTCAGAACCAAGGAGTCATCTGGAGGCCCAGAAGAAGCTTTATTCCTGGTTCTGACTGGTTTAATGTAGTTCTAAAGATCCTCTTCCTGGTTCTGCTCCTGGTTAACGTTCTGGTTCTGATGTCCAGGTCTGAGTCCGAGGATTAGTACGCCCAACATGTCCGCCGCCAGAGAGGACGGGACCGTCTCCCAGGACGACGCCACCGATGACATCATGGATCGGCTGGTGAAGTCCGTGACCCGGAACCCGACAAACAGAACCGCCAGCCCGAAGAGCCGTAAACGGGCCCGCCTCAACAGGAAGTCCTGTAAGTCGATGTTCCTCAGATCTGGGTTCAGATAATTGATCTTCTCTGCCTCAGAGGTTCCTGCTGTGGTTCTGCTGTGACCCGACTGGACCCATAAAATGGGACCGATCAGGTAGAGCAGCTGTAGGTGTTCTGGAGAAATCAAAGATGGCGCCTGTTGATGGCGCTCCAGTTACACAGACCAGCAGGAGTCAGAACTAGAACCTTTAAGGCGCAGCGGCTCTGCATTCGCTGAGGTCCGATGGATCGACTTCCTTTGGTACCAGAAGAAGACGAGACGTCTTCTAGAACCTTCCCGGTTCAGGTTCTGTTTGATGGCAAACAGCAGCTGTGTGTCCAAAACCTCTGATATCAGATCCCTTAGTTCACTTCCTCACCAAATCCCAGATGATCTGATGACCTTCAGGACAGAGAGGTGGAGGACGCACTGAAACCTGGCTGCTGCTCCGCATTCCTCTGCTTTTCTAATCATAGTCACTAGTTAATGACTCAACTTTCCTGTTATCAGAAGCTCTCTGAGGTCAGAAGGAGCCGAGCTGCAGCCTCCCTGATCTTCTCCTCCATCTGAGGATCTGAGCTTTAGCAGAAGTTTCTCCTCCAGAACTTTCATGAACAGCTGCTGTAATAAACCAGGAACCGACTAAACGGTTTCATTCTTTAGAAAAGAAGAGATGGACGTTCTCCTTGTTCTAACCAGGTTCAGTTTTACCGGATCTGATCCGTTTCTCTCTTGGTTTGCAGTGAGGAGGACTCTGAAGAACGGTCTCGGTCCAGACGGGATCCAGGCTCTGGATCTTTACAACAACAAGCCAGGAGACAAAGTCTGACCCAGGAAGGTCGTCAGGAGGAGCCTCTGCAGCATTTTAACCCAGCAGCAGCTTCCTCACTGATCTGAGCTCCAGGCAGCAGAACCGTTGGGATGCCATCAGAACCCTGAGCCGGTACCGCTCATCAGAAGGTCCGGACCTTCTTATCGTCTGATCTCCTGCTGCAGTGTTTGTAGATGAACCTTCAGAGCAGCTGAACGCCGACAGAAGCTCAGAATGTTCTGATCCTGCTGCTGATAACCAGACAGAACACCTTGATTTATCACAGCTGCTGCCGACGCCAGGATTTACCTGCCGGGTCGACGGTTCCGATCCGGTTTAACGACCGGAGGCAGAACCTGAATACGGATCAGAAGCAGGATTTATTCAGATAAACTGATGGTTGCTGTTTCACTCCAGAACCTCCTGCTGAACCAGTTCTGCTCTGAGGTCCCGGTCCGTCTGTTCTGTTCGGTTCTGTCTGTGTTGCATAACTTCTCTACGGTTTGGAACCGTCACTCAAACATCACGGATGATCTCCCACCTTCGCTGAACGGTTGATGACCTCTGAGCTGCGGCGCCTCAGATGAGGACGTTCCGGGTCACATGGTACCAAACGGGCTCCTGCCTCCAGGTGTGTGGATGGGAGTTCACTGCTTTTAGACTTTGAGGTTTTCTCCTTCCTCCCAGAGATGAGGACCTTGAAGATGTTTTAGCTGTGGTTGATTGTGTTTCTGCTGTTATCAATAAAGGTTTCAATAAATAAGAAGTTTGATGGTTCTGGTTTTTTTAAGAGACGCCTGAGGAAGCCCAGTTGGGTTGTTCCTCAGGTGCGGCATCCTGGTCCCCAGTTCCTCTAGGAGGAGGTCAGAGTTCTGCTCGTCATCAGGTTCCTCAGAAACATCATGATGAGACGTGGAACATCTGAAAGCTGGAGATTAGAGGCGGGACATCTGGGTCCGTCTGAGAACCCATTCAGTTTGTTTATATGGCGCCAAATCACAACACGTCGTCTCAGGGCAAGACATGATCCTCGTGACGATTTTTCGCTTTGATTTTGTGGTCGGCTCTCCACTCATGCTTGTAGCGACAGTGGAGAGGAAAAACTCCCTTTGAACAGGAAGAAACCTCCAGCAGAACCAGGCTCAGTGTGGGCGGCCATCTGCTGAGGCCCACTGGGGTTCAAGGAGACAGAAGCAGACATAGAAAAAGAAGCATAGATACAAAAGGCAACTGTCAACCAGCTCCACAGGCGGCCCCGTCCAGGAAACACACAGCCAGGCAGACGAGCTCCGAGCCAGCTCCCATGTCAGAGGATGAAGAGAGCACATCCAGTTAGTCACAGTCAGAGAAACAGGACTACACTGGAAAACAGGCCAAGCTCCAACATCTAGAAACAAAGGTGTTGATGGCAACAACTGATATTGTAATCTAAGATAGTCACAGCTAAACTGGAACAAACCAGATGAAGCTACTTGACAAATACTGCAGAATGGGAGAATAGAGATAGAAGGATGAAAAGGGCTCTATGTCCTCCAGCAGTCTAAGCCTATAGCAGCATCACTATATAAAATAGTTCAGTAAAACCTGAATATTGTGGATATTATATAATAAAGATAGAGACACAATGGGGCAAATGTGAAACGCCTGTCGGGACTGAAATTCTCCCCCCAGATTGGGCTGTTAACGCTCTACCTCCACCTACCTCTCTACTCACCCACTGACTAAACTATCTGCCTCCCAATCTACTTTTTGAAATTCTAGGAACCACTAGTAAACCTGCAGACTGAGAGTGAACTGATTTAGGATTGGTTTTTAGGGCTTTACATGTGAGGAGGATGGGCTGTTCAGTGTGTAGCACTGCTGCCTTGCAGCAAGAAGGTTCCAGGTTTGATTCCTGGCCCAGGATCTTTCTCCATGTTCTCTCTGAGCATGAGTGGGTTCTCTCTGGGTACTCCGGCTTCCTCCCACAGTCCAAAAACCTTAGGTGTGTGCGTGAAGGGTTATTTGTCTCTTTGTTGCCCTGCGATGAACCCCGCCTCTCACCCATAGACCGCTGGAGATAGACAACAGCACCCCTAGTGACCCCGCTTGGGATAAGCATGACGGAAAATGGATGGATGGATTTCCCAACCAGGTCAGACTTCTGTCCTGAGCTCCGCCGCTCTGATGAATAGAAACAGAAGTGGACTTTGGTCAGAACCCTTCTGGAAGCTAATAGGAACTTTATTAAATCATTAATGGCCCCGCTTTTCTTCTCCATGATAAATCCTCTGCCTTAATCTCCACCCTGATGTCCTCCTGTGACCTGAACCTTCTGCAGATCCTCCTCTTCATCCATGGACCTTCTCTTTGGTCCTCCTCTCCTCTGCCTCACCACCGTCTCTCTGGAGATGATCATCAGAGAGTTTCTGCAGAGCTTCGCCTCCTAAGGAGGTGCTGATACTGGATCCAAATCCAAACCAGTGCGGTTCTGGTGGCTCGTTTTGGGGTAATACGTTCCACACCCAGCAGCTCACAGAACCAACAGCCTGAATGGTCACTCTATGCAGAGGAGGATCTATCTGGAGGTCGACCTGCAGAACAGAGGAGCTGCTTCTTTATTCCACAGGTTCTCCACCAGTCCAGCTTCTCCAGAAGCGTCCAAAGTTAGTGCAAGTTTTTTTAAATACCAGTATAAAAACAAAAAAACTGGTAAGAGCAAAGATTGAACTTATAAAAACAGTTTTTGCACAAAGAAATGGGGTTAATTTCCTTTAGCTCACTATGATGGTAGAACAGAACAAAAGCAGTCTAGTTTTGTTCCAACTTTAAATGTCAGGATCATAACGGAACAGAAGTCCTGCTTCTACGGCTGAGAGCTTTTAGAGTTCTGATATCAACTTAATTAAAGTGAAACTAAACATAATCAGCACTGAAATGTAAAATCTATTAAAGACGGAATAAATGGTGAATGTCTGTAATTCTTCTCCATCATCTGATCCGTCTCTCAGCCTCCTGCTCTTCATGTTTTCTATAATCTAAGGCTGGACAGATTATCCTCTTTATTCCCTGTTTTGTTCCAGATGTTACATCATATTATCTTTATTTATCCAAATGAGCCAGTTTGGAAAACTTAAAATAAAGATATTTGTGTTCAAATGAAGGGAGTAAAACTCAGAACTAGAAATACTGAGCAAAGCTACTGAATAGACGTGGGAGCGTCTCTCCAGGGGCAGAGCTTCTAGATGTTCCGGTTCTGATCGTCCAGAAGGACGTTTGGGTCAGAAACAGGAGAGTTTTTAATCTGCTCATCGTGTTTCGCTGTAATCTGGTCTGAAGGTCTCTGAGTCGGAGCAAAGTGGAGGAACATCAGAGCTCCTGCTTCAGCAATCACTGACAGAAGGTTCAAGGACCCAAATATCCCACAGCTTCTACTTCTTTTATCTCCTGACCTTTAGCTGCTGTACAAGAACTTATCTGCTGTTTTGGGTCGGCTGATTATGAAACGGATCCAAGGTGAAGTTTCGCTTAGAAAGGAGCAGCTTCTGCTGAGGCAGGGGCGGATTTAGGAAATATGGGGCCCCAGGCGAAGACAGGCAGGGGGCCCTTTGAATGGAGAACACATAAACAGCCCCATTCTCCAGATAGAGAAATGTTAATAGAATAGACATCCATTATCTGTTCTAGGTTGTGTCCCTCTCTTCTTGTCCCTTTTCTTCTTGTTTTCCTCTCTATGTTTTGTACTCAGCTGACTTTTCATGCTGTCTCTAAAGGAATGAAAGATTTTTTCCAAGCACTAAGCTCACTTAGCTGATTGCTCCTTCCTGTGTTTCCAAAAAGGCCAAAGTAAATAACCCAGTCCTTCTTTTCACTGTAGACAAGCCATGATCTGCTTATCTGTTCTCCATTTTTCATTTGGATGAAATAATAGCTGCATGAATCATGACAGCAGACAAGATAGAGGAGAGCAGGAGGCGGGGTTACCAATCTACTGGCTCTGGAGAGCAGAGTTCGCTGCTTTTAGATGTTGTCTCCAAAGTCTCCAGTAGCAGAAAAAAGTCTCTAGATTTGGCGCTAGGAGCTTTTTAGAAATCAAAGTGCTAGAGGGGTCTGAAAAGTGGCTAAATATAGCGACTAAAGCGCTAAGTTGGCAACACTGCTCTTTGCATGGTTTGTTTTCAAATGGTTTGCTGCTGTCTGTTTGGACCTTTCTGAACATGTGCAGCAAATGGACTGATCCAATATGGTGGACACTGAAGGGGGGGGGCGCGATGAGACACATTTAATATTATCAGAATAAGGATTTTTAGCAAAAACATAATTAATGTGCAGAAATAAGGAATAGTTGTATTAACCATACATGGAAACAGTGTTTTATGGGGCCCCCAGGAACTTTGGGCCCTAGTCAACTGCTTGGTATTGCCTAATGGTAAAATCCTCCCTGCTGCTTCGTACTGAGAAGGTCACATGGAGGAGGAGAACCCAGGAACCTGGTAAAGTCCTGGCAGCAGCTGACAAGAATCTGGAATTTATCCAGCTTTCTCTGAAGGTTCTTCTTGGTTACGTCTTAATTCTGGAATAAAATAATTTCAGCTTTAATCTGAGAGGATGAAGCTTCATCAGACACTCTGAGGAGGAAACCGAAGCTCTGACCTTAGTGAAGAGGTGTGGTTGACCCTGTCGCTAGGGGCAACACTGTCTTCTAAGAGCTGTGATTGGTTGATGGGTTAGAAGATGCAAACAATAACTGTTCTCCTGAGTGGTATTTCATAAAGCTGTTTACAGTGTCCTGATTGTTTGCATCATCTAGTTCAGAGATCTGCAACCCGGGGCTCTAATTAGCTTAGTTTAAAAATGACTGAGAACCAGATTTTATTTTAGATATTTTAGATTTCAGGTCTTTTTTTCTATAAATGTTTTGAACTGAATTTGTGTGAAAGAATAACCCTAAAGCAGGGCTCACCAGCCTGTTTAAGGCTGAGGGCTACTTGATGGCTACTGAGTCATAAGATGGACAACCAGTACTGACCGGTGAACAAGAGGGGGCAGCGTTCACCTGAACTTCACCCATAAAAACACATTTTCATTGTTAAATTTAAAATTCTAATTTTCTTTTGAATATTGTCATTTTCAAATCTCTGTAAATGCTACAACGTTCTATATCAGAGGTCTCCAACAGGGGGTTCGCGAACCCTAGAGGGTCCTCAGAGGTACTGCATGGGGGTCGCGAATATTATGGTTGATTACTTTTATTTTTTATTCCCTCCTGCATTTTTTTCCACTAATTGAAATGTCTTTAAATCCACATTAACATGAATCCAACAGACTGTAGTAAACAGATAAATGGGATCAATGGATTTTTAAAGAATTTATTTTGCAAATAAATTCTTTAAAAATCAGACAATGTGATTTTTTGGGTCCCCGCTCCATCTCGCCATCAGTTTGGGGTCCTTGGCCTGGAAAACGTTGAAGACCCCTGATCTATATGGTTAATATTAGGGATGCACGATATAATCGGCCTCCTATCGGTATCGGCCTCAAAACTGAATATCGGACATCGGCCACCCCACCGATATTTAACCCGATATTTGATCAGCTTCTGAGTTTCTAAAGTCTAAAAAAAAATAAAATAAATACTACTTCTTCTTCTTCCTCAAAAACTTCTCTTTTACAGACTTAAAAACTTCTAAAGACGAGGGAAAAAATATTGATAGATTAAAATATCCCAATATCTTCATATGCTGATATATTGCCATTTAAAAACACCATATCAATCTCTTTTACTAATGAAATATTGCTATATGTCATCGTTATGCTACGAAATCCCCCGAAAATTCACCAAATGTTGCCATATTTTTATATGTTGATATATTGACGCGGTATCGATCTATTTTACTAACAAAATCTCACAAGAATTTGCAAAATATCACGAGAGTTTGTAACAGAACGATGAAATTTCACCAGATTTTGAAAGTAAAATAGATCGATACCGCGTTTTTAAAAATCTATTTGATATCAGCATATGAAAATATATTTGAGTTTATTATTTTTCAAAGTGTCAGAAATGGATAACAAAACTGCTATTTTCAATGACTACTTATTTTTGTCCAGCTTTAACATCGGTATCGATATCGGTTATCGGCTACATGAGTTTTAAAATATCGGCATATCGGATATCGGCCAAAATCCCAACATTGTGCATCCCTAGTTAATATGATGAAATGATCTATAAATGATTAAAACAGAAGAGCAGCCGTATAAAATAACATTTCAAACTAAGCCCTCAAAGACCCCATGTGGTCTCTGAGGGCCCCTTGGTGCCAGCGGGCCCTGCGTTGGTGACTAGCATTATTTCTTTAGATCCAATTCCTTGTTATTAAATGAAAGTCAGTATTAAATTACAATATCTATTGTTTATTCTTTAATTATTCCTCAATTTATTTATTCATTTCTGTTCCACTACAATTTTCTTCTTGAAGTTTTATGAACAGAAAATCTAGCCAGAAAAGATAAAAAGAAAGGTTTTGTAAAATGACAATAAAAATTCATCCATCTTGAATCTATGCGTTTGTCTTTGAAAGCATCAATTGTTCTAAAGATGTATATAAAGTCAGAGTGAACTTTGTCGCTCGGTTTTCCTCAAATATCTACATTCCGTAAAAATAAATGAATCCATCCTTTTGCAATAAATAAATATATATATAATTTTTTTTTTTTTTAATGAGAGGAAATTTTCTGAAGGCAACTATAAAAATGTTGTCGTCCTTTTTCAGAAAAGTATCTAACATCTTTCCCATGTCCATGCCCCTCTGGCAGGCTCAGACTGCCTGGCGGGAGGAGGGTCAGCCCTCCTTCAATCAAACACTTCCTGTCCGGCCGAAGCTCGTACCTGTGACAGTAAATACCTGAAGGAGCTGAAGCAGTTAACTCCCTAAATGATGCATGCAGTATCTATAGCCCTTCCTTCATGCTCATCCTGGTGACGGTCGGCATATGGTGTCATTTTCTATTTCTTCTAACTGTAAAATCCTTGCAACAACCTAAATTAGAATAAAACTAAGATGCTTTCTTTAAACTAAACTACGATGTTCCTCTCATGCTGATGAAGGTTCTCAGTCATCCAGGTCATAGTCATTCCGTAAAAGTTCAAAAAAATATCCACTGGACTTGGTTTTCAAGGTTTGAAGACGTTTCTCCACCTCTCCAGGAAGCTTTCTCAATTCAAATGTCTGGATCCGCAGTGAGTTTGAGTCTTTATATAAACCAGGCCTTGTATCGCTTGGAAACATGCAAATGGAAACTGATGAGTGGGTCATTTGGTTCCATTGTTAGCCTGTAATACCTGAAATCATAGACAGGGTTCAGATATTACAGGCTAATGATGGAACCAAACGACCCATTCATCGGTTTCCATAAAGACTCAAACTTACTGCGGATCCAGACATTAGAATTGAGAAAGCTTCTTGGAGAGGAAGCGAAACGTCTTTAAAGGAATAGTACACCCAAAACATGATTAGCCTTCATTTTCTACTCACCCCCATGCTGAACAAAACTCTGGAGTACTTTTTTGATATCTCAAATGCATCTGGAGATCTGGGAGGCTTCTTGCTGTCTGCTGACATTCAAATAATGGAGGTCTATGGCGCCCGAGGCAGAAAGGTCAATAAAAGTCCACAAAAAACATGTCAATATTCCTCCATACTGCTCGTCCAATGTATTCCAAGTGTCCTGAGTGGATAGCATCCAGAATTTACTCGAAACGAAGTCATTTAGAACGTTTTAGATCCTAAACAGTAGTGTATAGGATTTCCTAATAGCGCCCCCATGCGCGCTCACGATTCTACGGAAGCCGGCAGACCAAACCAGCGCATTCAGCTCGGCAAAGAACTCGTGCTCTTCCTCAACACTGAAGTCCTCAGACATTTTTCTTTCGTTGTTTCTTTCTTTGCACAGGTAAACAGCACATTTCTTCTTCTACGCTTGCATTCTTCTACGCGTGCTCTAGCCAAGCTGAGTTTTACTGAGTCAAACTGAGTTTCTTGTCTACCTGAGTTAAAATCCAGCTGTTTTTGTCTTTGCCTCTCGGCAGGAAGTCATCCTGCAAACTGGATGTTTGGGACCTTCTCTCCCCTGGAAGGATCTTCTGAGAACCAAGCTGAGCGGAGGATTCAAGTTTATGGTTTGGATCAACCTTTTCCCCCCCAAGGATCGTCTGGAGCTTCTCTCTGAGCAAAGGATTCATCTCCACAATAACCCGTTCGAGTACCGCAGGAAATCTCAGTGGCAGTCAGCTTCTCCGTTCACCTACAAACAACCGCAATCTGGGTAAAAACTGTCCGCCCTCCATCAAACTAGATAATCACTGGAACATTCCACACATACTGGATTCAATTAAAGACACCTTTTTCTGGAAACGTGGGTCAGCAACCTATTCCTCTTCTTCAAGTCAAAGAATCTAATTTCCCACTGAGCCTGAACTAACCACAGTGTCTTCCCCTCACTTTCCAGTTCTGGTTTGACAGTGTTCACAGCAGCTCTGGACTCATCTCATCCATAAGTGGGCTGGTGTAGATGGAACCTGGGTCAGCTGCTCTCCAGCTACATGAAAGGCTGGTAAAGCCGCCCCATGCCTGATGGCGCCCTGGGTGCGACGCCGCCCCATGCCTGATGGCGCCCTGGGTGCGACGCCGCCCGGTTCTCTTTCATCCTAAATTATTTTTTAGTTTCAGTTGTGATTGAATTTTTCTGATCTGAGGTTTATCTGTGAAGCTCTCTGCTCCTAAATAATCATTGCTTTGTTCTTTAGAGGTTTTCTGATGAGTCCAGCTCCTGCATCATCCTCAGTTCAACTGATAAGTGACGTCAGAGATTTGGGTATTGACAGGTGACGTCAGAGGCCATCCGATCAGCTGTGGATGCTGAGGGAGAGTCTAGGTGTCTTTAAAGGGGAAGTGGGCGGGTCACCCTCCTCCTCCTCCTCCCTGGGTGTGTAAGGAGGAGGAGGAGGAGGAGGTGTGTATGGATGTAGGGAGCCGGCCGCCGGCCTCCCTCCCTCCGCGGCTCCTCTCCTCTATAAAAGCTGAGCGGGATGTCAGCGCGATGAGCTCCGGGATGAAGATGCTGCTGCTCGGTGTGACGCTGCTGCTGCTCCGGGCCGCCGGAGCAGACCTGTCCGGGTCAGCCGCTCCGCACCCCGGGCCGGTTCTCTCCTCACCCTCCGCCCCGCCGCTCGGGGCTCCCGGAGTCGCCCTGAGCCGCTCGGCGGTGGAGGAGGAGCAGGAGGCGGAGGAGCACCACGGCGGCGGGTACCGGGTGGTGCAGTGGGAGTGGAGCTACGTCCAGACTCCCTACATCATCGCCATCTGGCTGCTCGTGGCCAGCGTGGCCAAGATCCGTAAGTACGCTGCTGCGCATGCACGCGCGCGTGCGTGAGCCGATTCTGTACTGGGATCCAGTTTGACCCATAAACTGGTTTCATAGCTTTTCCTCTGGTTCCATTCCAGCAGCACTGCTGAATATTTAACAGCATGAAGAGAAAAATCTGATAAATGACAATAAATCTCAAAGATGAAAAAAAAAAAAACATCTTTAGTTTAATTTATTCCTGAAATTAATTTTTCTATAAAGAGAAAAAAACAGGAAGTTTATGATCAGATCCTTTAATTGGAAATAAATGTGGATAAACCTGTTGAAGGTTCACCTTTAACATGAGTCTGTAAACCGGTTCAAACTGGATCCCGCTCCACCTGAGATGTTCCTACCTGAACCTCTGCTGGGGGCCAAACATGAGAGGAACCCTCCATGGGCCCCTCTAGACCCGGGGCCAACAGGGGCCCCTCTGATGGAAACAAAGAAGAATAAGGGACTAACTTTATAATGAAAGTTGGTGGAGATACTAACAGGTGTCAGGTAACTAAGTACAAATACTTAGTTACTGTACTTAAGCACACTTTTTAGGTATCTATACTTTACTCCATTACTTTTTCTTCCTACTTCTACTCATTACATTTTCACACCAGTATCTGTACTTTCTATTCCTTCCATTTTTAAATCAAACGTTACTTGTTATTCTTGGCTTCGGTTTAATGTTTCTAAATCTTTATTTCCCGTCATGTGCTCCATCCAATGCAGATCATTGGCTCCGCCCACATCTAGTGAAAACTAGTGTGATTGGATGAGTCATAGAAGGCAAACACTCATTGGTTAGCTAAAGGAAACCATCAGAAGCAAGCAGGTGTTCTTCAAACTGCTAACGTGAATTGTCTATGCCATGCTACAATATGGGATTCGGAAAAAGATGTTGAAATGTCTGAAAGGTCGGACGCAGGCGAGAGCGTATCGGGAGACGGAGACCAACAAGACCTCCCTCATCCTTGGCCCTATCTCAGAGGATTTATAGAAATATTAGAAAAATTGAGCTTTGAGTTCATATAGTGGAATCTGGCTGTTTTTATTAAAGGTTACTTTATACTTTTATACTTTAAGTAGTTTTTGGAGCACATACTTTTTCACTTTTACTTGAGTAAAGAGGTCAAGTTGATACTTCAACTTTTACCAGAATGTTTTTAAACTGCAGGACTTCTATTTAAGTAACAAATGTGTGAACTTTAGGCACCGCTGCTAAAGGCTGATGCTCCTACAGCTTTTAACAGGGTTTTTATTTTCCAAAAATGAGCTCAAACATATATTTACTGAACGCTCTCCTATTGTTGAGAACACAATAGAACCAAAATGTCATTATTTTTATGGGTAGTTAGACATCAAAGGATGAATAAGAGCCGATTTCGATGCCAACAGCAATACATCCTGCCTCCCTAATCTGCACACAACTTCAGCTTCATTCATCCATCAATCCATCCAGAAAAATTGGGATTAATTGATGGATGTTTTTCCTTTCCATGATAATCTGCATTCAAAAGCAGCGAAATCAAATTTAGAAAATTGTCCCACATATTGTTGGGAGCCAAACTCTATGTATTGAAAGTAGGGACGCAGGATATAATCGGCCCCCTATCGGTATCGGCCTTAAAACTGAATATGGGACATCGGCCACCCCACCGATATTTAACCCGATATTTGATCAGCTTCTGAGTTTCTACTTCTTCTTCCTCAAAAACGTCTTTTTTACAGACTTAAAAACTTCTAAAGACGAGGGAAAAAATATTGATCCATTAAAATATCCCAATATCTTCATATGCTGATATATTGCCATTTAAAAACATCATATCAATCTCTTTTACTAATGAAATATTGCTATATGTCATCGTTATGCTACGAAATCCCCCGAAAATTCACCAAATGTTGCCATATTTTTATATGTTGATATATTGACGCGGTATCGATCTATTTTACTAACAAAATCTCACAAGAATTTGCAAAATATCACGAGAGTTTGTAACAGAACGATGAAATTTCACCAGATTTTGAAAGTAAAATAGATCGATACCGCGTTTTTAAAAATCTATTTGATATCAGCATATGAAAATATATTTGAGTATATTATTTTTCAAAGTGTCAGAAATGGATAACAAAACTGCTATTTTCAATGACTACTTATTTTTGTCCAGCTTTAACATCGGTATCGATATCGGTTATCGGCTACATGAGTTTTAAAATATCGGCATATCGGATATCGGCCAAAATCCCGATATCCTGCATCCCTAATTGAAATTATTGGTGATTATTGCAACAAAGTAATTTTTTTTCTCTCCTGTTATTTAACCAGGAAAAGTCCCATTGAGATTAACAATCTCTATTTCAAGGGAGTCCTGGCCAAGATGGCGGCAAAATATTACATTACAGTTTACAATTACATCTATCTATAATTAGAAATTCATAAAACCGTTACAAACCATAGATCTTATTTCCAAACCTTTGAGCAATCTGTTAAAATGTCCGATTCACTGGAATAAATGGCAATCTAGATATGTCCTTTTTTCTTGAAATAAGTTTATTTGTTCTTGAATTGAGGAGGTAAAAGAGACATTTTGCCAATGGAACAAGACAATTTACATTTAAAATAAGAAAACACAATTGCATTGTCTTATTTCAAGTGCATTTTATCTAATTATCTTATTTTAAGAGTAAAAATACTCAATCCATTGGCAAATTATCCCGTTTACCAACTCAAATTAAGATTAAATACACTTAATTTAAGAAATTTTTACTTATTTCTAGATTGTTTTTCCAGTGTTGGATTAAAATCCTTCAGCTTCCAGTTTTTCTGAAGATTGCTCCATGCTGTGGGGGCAGAGTACTGAAAAGTACTGAAAAATAAAATTATTATAAACTAAAATGCTTTCTTTAAACCAAACTACGATGTTCCTCTTTTATTTGGTGAATTTATGTTGCAGTGCATGATGGGGGTTTTGCATCTAATGGCAGGGATGAAAACCGTTCCCAGTCTGAGCCTGGGAAAGTTACGGCTGTACCAACTTCTAATGATTAGATTTAGCTGAAATATTGCATGTGTTATTATTTATATCTCTATAGATTAGGTGGCAAATTGCAGCTCTGAAGTAATTTTTGTTTTGATTTCCAGGAGTTTGAACTGAGTCGGGTCTGAAACAGCCTGTTGAGTTTCGAGCAGTGATCCGGTTTTTGTATTTGAAAAGATGCGGCACCACGGGAGACTTGAGACCTTGTATAAGGTCCTCTGATGAAGCATCATCACCATAAGTTACTTTCATTTCATCAACAGACTCTCCTGTACGGAAGAGGATTAGGGCCGGTGGAAAAAAAAAATAAAGTTAACTGATTTTTAAATTTTATTTCAGTTTAGTATGGGAAAAAGTCAGAATTCTGACTTTTTTATCGTCAGAATTCAGTCAGAATTCTGAGATTAAAGTCAGAATTCTGGGAAAAAAGTCAGATTTTTTTCCCATGTTAAACTGAAATAAAATTTAAAAATCAGTTAACTTTTTTTTTTTTTTTTAGTGGCCCTAATCCTCTTCCGTACTCCTGGGTCTGCGTCCCTTCAAATATAAAACCAGGATTACTGCTCGACACTTTTAGACTCAGTTTAAACACCTTTAAATCAGAAACAACAATTAGTTCAGGGCTGTAATTTACCACTTAATCTATAGATATATAAATAATTGCACATGCAAATTTTCAGCTTGATCAACCAATGAATGATCCTCATAGACTGCGAAAAAATAAAGACTTTGTAAAGTAAGTCATTTTATTCCTGAATTAAGTGTATTTTGCCTTTATTTGAGCTTCCAGGTAAATATTGCCAATTTTTTAGGATGATTTATATTTAAAATAAAAAAAACTTCATTATCTTATTTTATGTACATATTCTTTATTATATGGGGAAGCATAATCCTTAAATAGCTCAAATTAATGGCAAATAATGTGGTTTTAAGAAATGTTTCCTCTTTTACACTGCAAAAAATGTAAATCTAAATAAGTAATTTTTTCCTAAACTAAGTGAATTTGTTCTTGAATTGAGGAGGTAAGTGAGACACTTTGCCAATTTGCATTGAAAATAAGAAAAAGCAATTGCATTGTCTTATTACAAGTGAATATTATCTAATTATCTTAGTTTAAGAGTAAAAAAATACTCATTCTGTTGGCAAATTATCCTATTTACCTACTAAAATTAAGGTAAAATACGCTTGATTTAAGGAATTTTTACTTATTTCTAGATAGTTTTTGCAGTGTAGATCATTTTTTGCAGTGTAATGCTAAATGAATGTCTTATGATGACATTTATGATGACATTTTAAAAATGAAAGTCGGTTTAAGCTCCGCCCATTTTAAAATAGGATCATTTTCATCTATTAGATTCGGATCTACAGCCTTGCCTTTGCGGCTCACTTAATTTCATTATCGATCTTCTCTTGCCCTGTTTCTGTTTCTGTTGCTCTTTTAATTCCTTTCTGCTCCTCTGGCCTCCGTTTGGTTTGTAGCTGAAATAAACCACCAAACTAAATTTCTTGAAGAAAAGTGACATTTTTGATCAGCTGAGCTTCAGTTGAGCTTCAATGTTGGCAGGAAAGCATCTCCAGAGGGCTGAGCTCACGGTTGCTGCTTCCTCACAGCCGTTAATGAAGGTTTGAAGCAGGCAGACTGTCGGAGCATCATCATCATCATCATCCTCATCATGTGGAGCTCTAACAGGTGGCTGACAGGAAGTTTGCTTTGCTTTATGAGCGCCAGGCCAAAGGCTCCTCTGGGTTCCTCCCTCCTTCCACCTGGAGAAATGTCTTCATTTAGAAGGTCTGCAGCAGCAGCGGGAGGAGAGAGGAGGTTTAAGGAGCAGCTGAGCAGACTAGATATGGAAAAAACCATCAGGAATCAATTATTTTATTATATCAACATGTTCATGACCTGAAACGCAGTTAAAATGCAGTCAGTGAGCTGAGAGGAGAAAAAGCTGTTTAATATTGGTATAAAAAGCATGATGTGGTCTGCAGAATGAAGAGAGAGAACAACAGACAGGCCGTCTGCTGCAGCTGCAGCTCTGGTCTCCAGGTCTGCCTTCACTAACTGATCTGATTACTGTCGCAGCTCCACCTTTGATCCATCAGGACTCCACCTGAACACCGTCATGTTCTCTTTAAACCCAGCAGACACGGCGTAGTTCAGTCAGGAGGGACTCAGCTTTCTTTTTCCTCTGATGTTTTAAAGGAATCGGTTTAAATCTAAACTCTTGTTTTCAGTCGGTTATCTGATGGATGGACTCGTCTACAGCTGCTTCCTATCTGCTTATCTCTGTTGCTCTTTCCACAAACATGTCGTCTGTGTCGACACCTGTTGGGTCTGTTGTGTGTGCGGCTCATGGTGTTCATCATTCTCTCGTTTTCTGATGATGCTTTCCTGTTCAGAATAGTTTAAAAGGTTGTAAACAGTTTTTTTTTTTCCTGAGATCAGCGTCTGGAGACTATAAAACCTGCTTTTATTAAAACCAGATTGGATAATTCATTATATGTTGGCCTGGACCGCTCACTTTGACACCGCCTGCATCCTGAGCGCAGACAGGAGGCCTCTGATTGGTCAGATCTCCATCCGCTCTACTTTATGCGTATTTCCTGTTTGGTTCCTTACCGGCTGGTTTTGTTTGTCTGACCGCCATTGTGGAAAACGACTGGAGATGGAGCAGCTAGCAGAGCGAGGTGCTTGATATGTGCTTGAGAATGGCTTAGTCTCCGGTTAAACCCAGGTTTAAAGCCTTGCAGCCCACTGCCAACATTAAGACAGAAAAAAGTAAGAAAAGAACAAACCATCAGTTCAGGGGTTTGAGAAAATATGGGAATCAGGAAATGATCTATAAACCAAACTGAACGATTGTTGTTCTCTACTTTAAAAAAAAACAATTTAGATTTTAAAATGGAAAAATGTTCTTTTTTTTTAAATTTAAAGTTAATGTAAAACATGAATGCTTAAAAAAACTCATTTTATTTCAGTTTTAAATTATGTTTAAAGAAACTCAGGACCTTTACTGGTTGATGATTTTCTTTATTCGGATCCCTCTGATTATTTAAAGGAATAGTACACCCAAAACATGATTAGCCTTCATTTTCTACTCCCCCCCATGCTGAACAAAACTCTGGAGTACTTTTTTGATATCTCAAATGCATCTGGAGATCTGGGAGGCTTCTTGCTGTCTGCTGACATTCAAATAATGGAGGTCTATGGCGCCCGAGGCAGAAAGGTCCATAAAAGTCCACAAAAAACGTGTCAATATTCCTCCATACTGCTCGTCCAATGTATTCCAAGTGTCCTGAGTGGGTAGCATCCAGAATTTACTCGAAACGAAGTCATTTAGAATGTTTTTAGAGCATAAACAGTAGTGTATAGGATTTCCTAAAAGCGCGTTCACGAGTCTACGGAAACCGCGGCAGACCAAACCAGACGAAAGTGCGCATTCAGCGTCTGCTCTGCCGATAATGCAAGCGTAGAAGAAGAAATGTGCTGTTTACCTGTGCAAAGAAAGAAACAACGAAAGAAAACTGTCTGAGGACTTCAGTGTTGAGGAAGAGCATGAGTTCTTTGCCGAGCTGAATGCGCACTTTCATCTGGTTTGGTCTGCCGCGGTTTCCGTAGACTCGTGAACGCGCTTTCAGGAAATCCTATACACTGCTGTTTATGCTCTAAAAACATTCTAAATGACTTCGTTTCGAGTAAATTCTGGACGCTACCCACTCAGGACACTTGGAATACATTGGACGAGCAGTATGGAGGAATATTGACACGTTTTTTGTGGACTTTTATGGACCTTTCTGCCTCGGGCGCCATAGACCTCCATTATTTGAATGTCAGCAGACAGCAAGAAGCCTCCCAGATCTCCAGATGCATTTGAGATATCAAAAAAGTACTCCAGAGTGTTGTTCAGCATGGGGGGGAGTAGAAAATGAAGGCTAATCATGTTTTGGTGTACTATTCCTTTAATTGGTGACCTCTGACCTAAATGATTCCAGTTAAATGTCTTCAGTCGACGCCGTTTGGACTGGAGGCAGGAAGGGAGGGAGAAAAAGCAGAATGAGAGGAAAAAAACTCAATCAATCCTTCAGGGAGACTGGCTGTTGATCCAGAACCTTTTAAATTATTCCAGGAGCGTCTGGATCACAGAAGGAAAACAGGGAAAGATGAGCTGATCAGAGGATTGATATTAACAGTCTGACAGATTTCAGTCTGACTCTGTTTGTCTGGGAAAATGAGACAAGGAGGGAAATGAGTCTATTGATTTCTGAGTTAAGGAGGGGGAAGACATCTGTCCTCTCTGACTCTAAAATTAAAAAGGTGTGGAGACTCTTTAGGGCTTCACATGAAGCAGGAAGGACGACAGAGGGACGGACAGAGGGACGGACAGAGGGACGGACAGAGGGACGGACAGGCTGACTCCCACTCAGCAGACGAACAGGCAAGGACAGAAACACTGAGGACGTTCAGCTGCTCCACATGAAGCCCAGACAGGAATCCAAACAGACTCTGCCGCCTTAAATCACGGTCTGCCCTCCCCTGCTCACTCTGCAGTCTCATCCGCCATCTAAAATAGTCCCAAATGTCTCCTCCGAAACCATCCAGCGCAGCTTCTGTAGAAGGCTCCGGGTTTAAAATCTGAACTTTTAGATTTATTAGCATGAGGGCGATGAGGGCTGAACATGCAGAGATGCTTTAACTCAGCCTGGAAACAATAAATAAGCTCCACAGCTGGACTTGTTGCAGACGGTGCAGGAAGGAGTCTGGGGACTACTTTCAGCGGATGGTTACGTGTGATGCTGCGGTGAGGAGGAACCAGCGGCTGAGTTTGAGCTCAGGAGGAGAAGCTGAAGCAGAATGACCTTCCTGAGTCGGAGCAGCTCTGAGGTCAGGCTGTTATCAGGCAGCGCTTTGTCGTCCTGCGGATCCGTGACTCACAGCAGAACCAGAATCACATGTCTGGGTCTGATTGGGCTCAGGGACACACAGACATACAAACACACATTCCTCCTGTCAAACAAAAAGACGGTGTCCTTCATGGGAGCTCTATGACGTCATAGTATCTCTACCTGAGTAGCTCAGCCAATAAGGACTGCGTTCATTGGACTCATTTGTCATGATTTCATTAAAGGTCTGACCCAAAATGCAGAAGACCAAACAGAGAGACACGGGAAACGTTTAAACAGGTTTATGTTAGAATAATGTGATGAATCCAGTGCTGCTCTGAACACTCAAACTGGAACTGGAAGGTGAGGACAAGACACTGCGGTTAGTTCAGGCTCAGTGGGAAATTAGATTATTTGGCTTGAATTGGAGGAATAGGTTGCAGACTCACTTCTCCAGAAAAAGGTGTCCTTTATGGAATCCAGTCTGTGTGGAATGTTCCAGTAATTGTCTTGTTTGGTGATGGGTGGACGGGGTTTACTCAGACTGCGGTTGTTCCTTGGTGAACGGAGAAGCTGACTGCTACTCAGATTTCCTGCGGTACTTGAACGGGCTGTGGTGCAGATGAAACCTTTGCTCAGTGTGAAGCTCAAACGACCTCTAGGGGAAAGTGGATCCAAACCTCCTGTTTGGAACCCCAGCTCAGTTAGAAGCTCAGTCGATCCTTCCAGAGAGAGAAGGTCCGAAAAAATCCAGTTTGCAGGATGACTTCCTGCCGAGAGGCAAAGACAAAAAAAAAAACTAAGTTAAGACTCAGGTTGACAAAAACTCAGGTTAGACTCTGCTAAACTAAGCATGGCTAGAGTGCCCTGTATTGGCAAACACTCTGGCCTCGAGGTAGTGGCAGTCAGCAGCTTAAGAATCCTCCACAGGTAATGAGGCAATGAGCTGCAGGTGTGCAGGGAGAACCAATGAGGACGGGGCACCACCTGGTGGAGGAGGAAAGGAAACACAAAAACAGACCACACAAACTGGATTCCTGACATCATTAGCCAATCAGAGACAAAGATTCTGCATTTTCATAGAATTGCAATCTATGAACAATAGATTTATATTCACTGAAAACAGAGAAAGGGTCAGAAATGAGAGAACCGAAGGTTGGAAGGTCAATTAATTAACTTTAAAAAGAAGTCCATCCTCCATGTTGTCACTTTTCCATCTCCATGGATCACTGGTCTGCAGCTGGTTTCCTCCAAACATCTGTCCATCATGGTCCAACTGTCTCCTCTGTCCAGAGGACGTTGTCCCACAAGTTTGCTGCTATCTTGGTCCTAGAGAGGAGAGACTTTCTCCCTCAACACTCCCAAGCAGTCAGACTGGTTGAGGTCATGACCTTTGACCTTTAATCTGCTAACATGTCGAGCCTGAGCTCATGTGGAGCTCTTTGGTTTTATGGAGTGAACTTTGTACCATTATTGTTGCGAACAACGAAGACGTTTTGTAAATGACACTTTGAAAAAGTTCTTAATCAAAGCTAAGTTCTAAGAGCAACTTTGACGTTTTCTCTGGTTTTATTTTTTCTTTTAATTCTCTTTCAGATTGAGTTTTACAAATTCCTTTCTTTTCAATCTGTGTTGTTAGGATAGAATTTCCTTCACTTCAAGCTCAATGTTGCTAACGTCCGTGCAGACCAATAGAAATTAATCTTCCTTCTTCACTAAACAAATTCCGCTTCCAAAAGTGAACAATATGCAATCTGAAAAATGCAGTTTGGAAAGAATCCGATTTGTAAAAAAGAAGGAAATCTGGAAATATGAAATCTGTAAAAACTGTGAAAAATGTACATTTGAAAAAAGGTCAAATTTGGAAACAAAATGAATCCGTAAACCTCTGCTATAGAGGAACTTCTGCTGACCAGGGAATCATCCTGTCATCCACTATAAGCTGATGTTGGTCCTTGAAGGATAAATCTGTGTCTCACTGAGGTTTCTTGTCCTGCAGTGTTCCACTTCTCCCAGCGGTTTACAACTGTGGTGCCAGAGAGCTGCATGCTGATCCTGCTGGGTCTGGTTCTGGGCGGGGTCGTCCTCATAGCCAGTAAGAAGCAGCTGTACCAGCTGGACCCCTCCCTCTTCTTCCTCTTCCTGCTGCCGACCATCGTCGGGGACGCCGGCTACTTCATGCCGGCTCGGCTCTTCTTCGACAACCTGGGATCCATCCTGACGTACGCCGTGGTGGGCACGCTGTGGAACGCCTTCTGCACCGGCTTCAGTCTGTACGCAGCCAAGCTGCTGGGCGTTATAGGTCAGTGATGGGGGGTCAGAGGTCAGATCGATGATAAGACGTGCTACAAACAGCAACAGACATCAGTATTCATCCTGCAGACTGCATCAATCTGTACAGAACATCTCAACAACTCCGGCTGGCACAGGGGCGGAGCTAGATGGGGGGCCGGGGTGGCCATGGCTACCCTTACCCACTCATTGGCCACCCTACCATTTATTTACATCTAATACAGATGGCGGCAGCAGTAAAACTTTGGAGTGGAATATTCAATTCATTTACATTTTTTTTGTGGTTAATTATACACATCAATTACTAACATCAAAGATGATAAGTACATAATTATTAGATTAGATTTTGTGTTAAATGGGGTAAGGAGAAAATGATGCGTCTCTGCAAGTCATCTAGGAGTCTTCATTGAAATCATAGATAAATAACAATTTTAATAAAAACTTATCAAATAATCAATTTATTTAGATATTAGTGCTTTTAAATAGCAATTAATTATTATTATGCAGAATGTTTATTGACACAAGTAGGTAAGTAATGACAATGGAAAAGATTTATGCCCCAGAACTCAAAACTGAAAGAATTTTATCCACCATACCTTTTATCTAGAAATTACATATTTTTAAATATATGTGTCTAATTGTTAGCAAAGGATGTGGGAAAGTATAATTTGTCTTTTTTTTTTTTTAGAAAATATGGATGTTTTGCTCATTAATTTTCCTGTTGGATCAGTATAGATTGACCCTAAGGTTCTGGTGCCGATCCACTTTCGGCCACCCCTCAGTGTTCATTGGTTACTGCCAGGCCAGCCTTATAACAATGTTCTGACTATGCCTCTGGGCTGGCAGTAAGGAAGGAGGTAGGAAGAGGAAGCAGGATGCTTCCTATCTTAGCTCTGAAGGTTGTTATCCCCTTTTGACCAGCATCATTAATGTAAGTTATCTTCCCATTATGGAGTATCTAAGGATTTAAAACAGCCGCCCAGAACTCCTTTCCTAACCTGGATCTTGATCTTACTGTTGACCCCATGAAAAGTGAAGCAACAGGAAGTAAAAACTAGACTTTGCTGAATTCAGACTGAGTCAAGGACTCAATACATCAAATGGTATCTCCTGCCTTCTGTTCCTAACTCCTATCCCTTCACTTCTAATGGGGTCAACAGTTAGATCTCTGTTCCGGGCGGGAAAGGAGCTAAACGAACGTCGTTATGTGACAGAGATGCTCATGAATGACGCTGGTCAAATTACAAACTACAAAAAAGCAGAGTTAGCCAAATGTAGTGAACGATTGAATCTCTTTGTTATAAAAACCAAAACACATGAAGGTCAGGAGACATCAGCAGGTCCCTATGCTAACTGTATTGGATCTAGGAAGCATCCTACATCCCGCTCCTAGCTCCTTCCTAACCTCCTAACCCCTTCCACATTACTTATTTTCCCTCACTACCTTGAGGTGCAAAGCTCAGCAGCACTGAAAGTCTCACCGTCTTAGATCTTGTTTTGATATTGATTTATTAAGCAAAAGTAGATTCTGTTAGATTATTAATCTCCTTTTGAGAAAATTCTACTTAGAAGAAGCCAATAATCTGTCAGTGCTGTAAAACAGTTAGACTTGGTAAAAGATTTTCTTGTTTGGAGAAAATATATCCTGATTTCAGGAAGTCTAACTGCCCTGGCAGAATATCGCTCTTATTTCTTTTTTTTAAATAGAATTTTCTGAAAAGAAAATTAATAATGAAATCTGTTCTTGTTTATTTGTCTTTTTCAGATGTTGACCAACGAAAATGAAGAATATATATAAAAATAAAAATGCGTCTTTGCTTCTCACCAATCTGTAAAATGCAGCTTGAGAAGATGGTAATTAATAAAACTGGAAAATAGAAATGAAAAAAAAATAAAAAATAGAAAATATAAAAAAAAATTGTCATTTGAAAAAAATAAATCAGAGAAAACAGGAAAGCTACTTTCAAAAAATTGTTTTTTATAGGAAGTTTTTTACACTTTAAATTAGGGATGCACGATATAATCGGCCTTAAAACTGAATATGGGACATCGGCCACCCCACCGATATTTAACCCGATATTTGATCAGCTTCTGAGTTTCTAAAGTCTAAAAAAAAAAAAATAATACTACTTCTTCTTCTTCCTCAAAAACTTCTTTTTTACAGACTTAAAAACTTCTAAAGACGAGGGAAAAAATATTGATCCATTAAAATATCCCAATATCTTCATATGCTGATATATTGCCATTTAAAAACACCATATCAATCTCTTTTACTAATGAAATATTGCTATATGTCATCGTTATGCTACGAAATCCCCCGAAAATTCACCAAATGTTGCCATATTTTTATATGTTGATATATTGACGCGGCATCGATCTATTTTACTAACAAAATCTCACAAGAATTTGCAAAATATCACGAGAGTTTGTAACACAACCATGAAATTTCACCAGATTTTGAAAGTAAAATAGATCGATACCGCGTTTTTAAAAATCTATTTGATATCAGCATATGAAAATATATTTGAGTTTATTATTTTTCAAAGTGTCAGAAATGGATAACAAAACGGCTATTTTCAATGACTACTTATTTTTGTCCAGCTTTAACATCGGTATCGATATCGGTTATCGGCTACATGAGTTTTAAAATATCGGCATATCGGATATCGGCCAAAATCCCAATATCCTGCATCCCTAGTTTAAATTCTAGATTGGATTTTTTCTCAAATTTCTATTTCCAATACGTGTTCAGTAGCTGGAATATATCTGTATTGAAGCAGCTGTTAATTTTTATTTTTTATTTTTATATTTGTATGTTTTCTATGATTTTTTTTCTTATCTTAAACTTTAACCATTTTATTGTAGTTTCAAGTCGTCTCACCTCCATAATAGAAAATCCACTTATTTTAATCACAAAATGACATATTTAGTTTCTGCAGTCAGAGACGTCTAGGATGAACCATCACCAGAATCACAACATACCTCATCTATACCTGCTGTGATGTCATCACGCGTTAACCAGTCACCTGTGCCGACTCTGTGCTGCAGATGAACGCGTTCAGGCCGAGTTGATGGACTTCCTGCTGTTCGGCGCCCTGATCTCGGCCGTGGATCCGGTGGCGGTTCTGGCGGTCTTTGAGGAGGTCCACGTCAACGAGATGCTCTTCATCATCGTGTTTGGAGAATCGCTGGTGAACGACGCCGTCACCGTGGTGAGAGACACATTCTGACATCTCCTTGTCTTCGTCTGAACCCGACTGGACTGTTAGAGGATCTCTGTGTTGGTTCTAAAGATCAGCAAGAATCCTTCAAAAGACAAAAGCAGAGATCGTTGCTCAGATAAACGCTGTTTACATCCAGGTCAACCTGACAGATTTAAGAGACAAGCTGTTTTTTTTAGGTCAGTTGCTGCTGCTGCATAAAAACATGATGCCATGTGGAGCCGTTCAGCTCCCAGTATCCAGTCCCAGTAACCGGAGGCTTCACAGCTCATTGTTAATGTGCTTCAACATAAGGCAGCAACAGTCTTCTCTCAGCTCACCTGCACAGATATAGAGTAGCTAGATGTAGATGTAGGTCAGCGGGATCCCTGCAGGTGCTGCTGATGCAATCTAACACTGTATGAATCAGCACAAATCTCACCTGCATCACCGTGGCAGGTGTGACAGGGTGTTTCCATAGCAACAGATAAGCCTATAAAGGTCAGGCTGAGCTGAACCTGAACTTTGCTCCGTGCTTTTATCTGGCAGCAGGAACATATTTAATGCCAGGAGCAGCAGGAGAACACGTGTTCTCTGGAACCAGCCGCTGGAAAGCGTCCCTTTAAGGCTTCCCATCAGAGCGATGAACACCTCCACCTCCGCACGGCCGCATGTCGGGCCATGGAAAGCTGTGAGCAGATTAGCTGCCGCCGGGTAATCCTCCGCAGCACTCAGAATATTAGCTAATCCCAGCGGGAAATGGAAAAAAACCAAAGCTTGGTGAACTGGAGCCATGATCTCTGGGAGAGGAGAGCTGAGGGACGTTTTACCTTATCAGAACTAAATTTATCTGACACAGCTGGAGCATCTAGATCAGGGGTCTCCACCTCTAGTCCTCCAGATCTACTGTCCTGCAGGTTTTAGATGCATCTCTGCTCCAACACAGCTGAATTAAATTCCCAGGACTCCCACTAAACCCTACGGGAACCTGGAGGAAGACAACCTAAGGGGTCTGAGTGGGCAGCAGGATGTTAATTTCTCCCCACATCATATCAGAGACCTAGAAATTAAAGACCAGTCCCTGTTTTATAACGTTACTGCTAAAAAATAATATTTTCAACCTGCAACATGAAACACATGCAGAGAAAAAAACAACTTATTCTGAGAATTAAACCTGAAAATGTTTTTCAACACATTGACTGCAGCTCACTTCTTTTCATTACCGTATTTATGCAATAAACTAATTAAGTACAAACAAGAATATTGAAGCTGTGCACATCTTAGAGGGAAATAAAACACACATTAGAAAATACAGCAACAAATATGGAGGAATAAGTAGTAGGGATGCAGGATGTTGGGATTTTGGCCGATATCCGATATGCCGATATTTTAAAACTCATGTAGCCGATAACCGATATCGATACCGATCTTAAAGCTGGACAAAAATAAGTAGTCATTGAAAATAGCAGTTTTGTTATCCATTTCTGACACTTATAATAAATAATATACTCAAATATATTTTCATACGCTGATATCAAATAGATTTTTAAAAACGCGGTATCGATCTATTTTACTTTCAAAATCTGGTGAAATTTCATCGTTCTGTTACAAACTCTCGTGATATTTTGCAAATTCTTGTGAGATTTTGTTAGTAAAATAGATCGATACCGCGTCAATATATCAACATATAAAAATATGGCAACATTTCGTGAATTTTCGGGGGATTTCGTAGCATAACGATGACATATAGCAATATTTCATTAGTAAAAGAGATTGATATGGTGTTTTTAAATGGCAATATATCAGCATATGAAGATATTGGGATATTTTAATGGATCAATATTTTTTCCCTCGTCTTTAGAAGTTTTTAAGTCTGTAAAAAAGAAGTTTTTGAGGAAGAAGAAGAAGTAGTATTTTTTATTTATTTTTTTAGACTTTAGAAACTCAGAAGCTGATCAAATATCGGGTTAAATATCGGTGGGGTGGCCGATGTCCGATATTCAGTTTTAAGGCCGATACCGATAGGGGGCCGATTATATCGTGCATCCCTAGGTACTAGCAACCTTCTCAGAGCCCAGAGCTCTGCTCTAACCACTAGACCATCACTGGAGTCTCTATAGTTATGCTGCTATAGGCTTATACCGCCGGTGGACATAGGGACCTCTTTTCCAACACATACAAACTTAAAACCGCAGATCGATTTTATCGGATCCAAAAGCACATGGTCAGATTGCTGCCCTCTGACAAATAAAAAAAAAGGGTAATAAAACCAGCTTGAATTCAGGTTTAAGTCAGCAGAGTTGTTAAATATTTCATCAGCATGTTTTCTGTCTCTGGTGACTAACGTGATGAGTCGTACCACAGATCAGCATATAAACAGAGGTGTGAGGAATTCACACGGATTCCTGCAAACATTTAAATACCACCGATGCGTAATGGTGAACGGTGAATGCTGCGACTGCGTGGAGACTTTGAACATTTTCAGGGATTCTCATGATTACCTGACCAAGGATGAGGGTTGATCAGCTGGTCAGACTCCATAGAGGTCTATGAACTGGGTCCAGTATTGGAGATACGGACCGACCACCTGAACCAGTTCATCCCTGTGGGGTTCGACAGGAGGAGGTCAGAAAAACAGAGTAGCTGGAGGCATTAAATGAAAATAGATTATGTTAAACTAGAATTTAAAATATATGAATAATGTATAATATGCTTAAAGAAAAGAGAAAGAACTGCAGGTTCTCTCAGATCTGCACCTTTTTAAGTCCAGATTATAAACTAATTTTTTCAAACTGGCTTTTAATACTTAGTACACATTGTTTTATGCTTATGATTTTATTTATTTATTTGTTTTTTTGCAATGTTTTTTTTCTTTGGTTTTCCTGGTGTTGTTGTAAAGAACTCTATACAGGTGCTGGTCATAAAATTAGAATATCATGAAAAAGTAGATTGATTTCAGTAATTCCATTTAAAAAGTGAAACTTGTATATTATATTCATACATTACATACAAACTCATATATTTCAGATGTTTATTTTGTTTAATTTTGATGATTACAAATGACAACAAATGAAAATCTCAAATTCATCATATCAGAAAATTAGAATATTACTGAAGACCAATAAAAACAAAGGATTTATAGAAATGTTGGCCAACTGAAAAGTATGAACATGAAAAGTATGAGCATGTACAGCACTCAGTATTTAGTTGGGCCTCCTTTGGCCTGTATTACTGCAGCAATGCGGCGTGGCATGGAGTCGATCAGTCTGTGGCACTGCTCAGGTGTTATGATAGCCCAGGTTGCTCTAATAGTGGCTTTTAGCTCTTCTGAATTGTTGGGTCTGGTGTATTGCATCTTCTTCTTCACAATACCCCATAGATTTTCTATGGGGTTAAGGTCAGGAGAGTTTGCTGGCCAATTAAGAACAGGGATACCATGGTCCTTCAACCAGGTACTGGTAGCTTTGGCACTGTGTGCAGGTGCCAAGTCCTGTTGGAAAATGAAATCTGCATCTCCAAAAAGTTGGTCAGCTGCAGGAAGCATGAAGTGCTCTAAAACTTCCTGGTATGTGGCTGCGTTGACCCTGGACCTCAGAAAACACAATGGACCAACACCAGCAGATGACATGGCACCCCAAACCATCACTGACTGTGGAAACTTTACACTGGACTTCAAGCAACGTGGATGAAGTGCCTCTCTTCTTTTCCTCCAGACTCTGGGACCTTGATTTCCAAAGGAAATGCAAAATTTACTTTCATCAGAGAACATGACTTTGGACCACTCACCAGCAGTCCAGTCCTGTTTCTCTTTAGCCCAGGCAAGACGCTTCTGACGCTGTCTGTGGTTCAAGAGTGGCTTGACACAAGGAATGCGACAGCAGAAACCCATGTCTTTCATACGTCTGTGTGTGGTGGTTCTTGAAGCACTCACTCCAGCTGCAGTCCACTCTTTGTGAATCTCCCCCACATTTTTGAATGGGTTTTGTTTCACAATCCTCTCCAGGGTGCGGTTATCTCTCTTGCTTGTACACTTTTTTCGACCACATCTTTTCCTTCCCTTCGCCTCTCTATTAATGTGCTTGGACACTGAGCTCTGTGAACAGCCAGCCTCTTTAGCGATGACCTTTTGTGTCTTGCCCTCCTTGTGCAAGGTGTCGATGGTCGTCTTTTGGACAACTGTCAAGTCAGCAGTCTTCCCCATGATTGTGTAGCCTATAGAACTAGACTGAAAGACCATTTAAAGGCTTTTGCAGGTGGTTTGAGTTAATTAGCTGATTAGAGTGTGGCACCAGGGGCCATCAATTTTGAACCTTTTCACAATATTCTAATTTTCTGATATGATGAATTTGAGATTTTCATTTGTTGTCATTTGTAATCATCAAAATTAAACAAAACAAACATCTGAAATATATGAGTTTGTATGTAATGTATGAATATAATATACAAGTTTCACTTTTTAAATGGAATTACTGAAATCAATCTACTTTTTCATGATATTCTAATTTTATGACCAGCACCTGTAAATAATCATCTCTCGGTTTATTAGAGAGACATCTAAATAAAATAAGATGATGTAGCTGAAACAAGAACATTTTGGCATTTTTTTAAATAATAATAATAGCAGCTGTTAAACACTGGTTCCTTAGCAGCTCCAATCCCCCCACAGGTGTTCAACATGATCAACAGTTATTTAACCTTCTTTAGTAGCAAAATAAATGAGTAATTAGTCCCATAAATCTGAAATATGACAGCCGGTTCTAAGCCCAATGTTACCTGGATGTTCTTCTTAATCTGATCAATCCACATCTGACTTCAAGTTTGACATTAATAATACGTTTATTTACTCTCCCTACCAAATATATATATTTCTCAGACTCCTCACTCACCAGCACATCTATGTCTGCCTTAAACTGTGATTTTTATTCCACTCTTTCGGCTGGGGTTGCCATGGTAACCATTAAATAATATTGACCAGCGGGCTTATTGAACTTGTTAACTATCCTGTCTTAACCAAACGAGTAATGCGGTGATTGCTAATGTCTCCATTATAACTGTAAACATGGCCGCCTAGACGCCTCGAAACAGCAGCTGATTTTGGGCGTTTCTCAATTCACGAGAATGCGAGTACGTACTCGCGTTCTCGTGAAGTCCGTTCTTGGCGAGAACGCAGGAAGATCGGACTTGACGAGAACGCGAGCACGCAAGCACGTATGTGTATTGGAGCAGAAGCGTACTCGTGACGTCATCACATGCAACGTTGTTTAGCATTTCTTTAACAGTCAAAACTATTTATTCTCTACACAAAACATTTTGAAAACAATATTTTTTATTTCTAAAGCTTAAAAAACATTTAAAAAAATTACTGAACCGCAAAAAAACGCCATCAGAACGAGTGGTAGTTCACACATAACTAGACCGAGAGAAGTGCACTACAGACGGGGTAAATTTAGCCCTGGCTGCGGTTACCCTCGGAGGTCTGCTGGTCACTCTGGTCCGCTCAACGTCTGACTTTTTTTTTAAATTTCGCACTAACTCTGTAAACAGGCCACACAGGGAGGCTTCAATGTATAATGTTATCGCCTCAAACGATTTCAAAACGTACTTTTGAAGAACAACAGTAGCAGAAAAGGGAATGTTTAACTTAACACTGTGAGCGCTGTCTGGAATCAAGCTGCGGCCGCGGGGCATTCTGGGGAAGCGGTCAGTCTGAAGAACGCACAAGTCTGCTCTGATGCATGCTCGATAAAGAGGGCGGGGCGAGAACAACATCCGGGGATTTAATGCGTTCCCGATCTGGCGTTCTTGAGAATTGGAACGGTACTCGGGCTGAGGCTGATGACGTATAACGAGTACACGAGCACACGAGAACGCTCAAGAACGCATATTGAGAAACGCCCTTTATCTATTATTATGTTTTCTCAGAAATTTTGGGGGATTTTGGTTTGGAGAGTTAACAGTTTACAAACAGAATAACACGGTTTGGTGCCTCAGATGCAGAGTTTGAGGAACAGCTGGGATCTATGAAGGAAAACTTGTTTTTTGTTGCCTTGGTTTTATAGATCGGGAATTGTTTTTGCTGTTCTCCTTGGGAGTGGCAGCCTAGTGGTTAGGGCATAGGACCTGGAATCTTGAGGTTGTGAGTTCGAAATCAACTTCCACAGAATGTCACTCTGGGTCTCTGAGCAAGACCCTTAAAGTCATATGGAAATCAGTTTTATATGTCAAATCATTCTGGCTTAAACATGTTTATAAATGTATTCTTTATCAGACTATACTGTCCCAAAATTTAGAAAATTTCCATTTAGAAAATTTTGTCTTAAAATGTGTTTTTCTTCTGCAGGCCAGTTAGTTCTACTTCATCCTGAACTCCTAAATTCGGCCAATCAGATATCAATGGTCATCTGCCAATCAAATGTTTTCGGTCATAGCATCTTGATTCATATGTCGCAGCTAATATACGCAGCGGTTGAAATCAGAATCCTTTCCTTTCCCATTGAGTTGCGTCCCAGTGTTCACGGGGATGGACGTCTGTGTCTTCGGCAGGCGTAGAGCTAACAGAACTGGCAGCGTTGCGAGGCAAGGGCTCAAACATGTACGGCTGGAAGCCTTCTACACCAAACCAAGCTTCTGCCGCCCTGGCGTCCTCTTCCACAACATCTTCGTCCCCGCTTTCCTCCTCTAAATAAAAAATGGATAACGGAGGAGACTCATCCACGACCTCCGACACTAAGCTCTCCTCCTCTTGCATGTTTCCGCTGTCCATAGCGTTCCTTGACAGCGTCTTGGTCCCAATGGAATTTCCCTTTGGGAACCTACTAGCACTAAGTTGCTAACTGGTTAGCAAGATGCTTCCCACAAACTGGCCACAACCAAACTTGATTACAAACCTTCCGCCACAACAATCCCGCCCCCTTGGTAAACGACCAATCACATTCACTTTATTCAAGCGTATAAAGTTGGGCACCACTCGGGAGAGTTTGGAAATGCAACGGTTGGAACAGCCGCTTCCCTACGGCTTTAACCCCCGGGCGCTCCACGATGGCAGCCCACTGCTCCCTAATGGGACGGGTTAAATGCAGAGTTAGATTTCTGCAGTGTGAGTTCAATTATTATTATTACTCCAGATGTTTAGTTTGTGGACATTGTTAGTATGGATCCTGCACAGTGTTTTATGAATGAGACCCCTGGTACTTTAAAAAGTTCATCATGTCAGCAGAAGGCGATCTCACCCAATAGGTAACGGCAAAGTTCTTTGTCCTCTATAGGTTCTCTATAAAGTCTATATTTCCTTTGTGGAAGTGGGACCGGGGAACGTCCAGACAGCCGATTACTTTAAAGGAGTGGGTGAGTCCACAGATGGAGACATGGCGGACATGAAGTGGGCCTGAACTGGCAACAACCTTCCTCTTCTTCCTTTGCAGCTTCATTCCTCATCGTCAGCATCGGGGGCACTCTGGTGGGTCTGGTCTTTGCCGTCATCCTCGGCTTCATCACCCGCTTTACCAAGAAGGTCCGCATCATCGAGCCCCTCTTCGTTTTCCTGATGGTCTACCTGGCCTACCTGACCGCCGAGCTCTTCTCGCTGTCCGCCATTCTGTCGTAAGTTCAGCCGTTCAGTCGGGCCAATCTGAGGTCCAGTGGTCATCCCACCATCCTGTCCCTTCCTTCACAGAATGACCTTCTGTGGCATCGGAGCCAACAAATACGTGGAGGCCAACATTTCACAGAAGTCTCGGACCACCGTCAAATATACGATGAAGACCCTGGCCAGCATTGCGGAAACCATCATCTTCATCTTTTTGGGAATCTCAGCAGTGGACAAGTCCAAATGGGCCTGGGACACAGGGCTGGTGTCCTGCACCCTGGTCTTCATCTTTGTTTTCAGAGCCGTGGGTCAGTTTCTCTCCCTGATGGTTCTGGTTGTTTCAGCCGTTACAGAAATAAGTTGATGATGTTAAGGCTCGTACTTACATAACCGTTTTCTGAAAGCACAAAGCTAGCTAAATAAAGATGGCCTACACATGAATCAATCAAAACAATGTGAAGGAAACTGGGCATTCATGCAATATTGATCACGCCATTGTTGTTATGTTCTATACGTGAGGCACTCACGTGTTTGTCCAGAGTCGGACTGATGATGCAGATGTCTGCGGTAAAGTTGCGGAAAGTCATTGACCTCAGAAATGCATGCCACAGTTCTGAAATATTCTTCTTCTTGTTGATAATACATGGTTTTGAAGAAGGATTTTTTAATTTCGGACTGAGCTTGTCTTCGTGTTGATGGAGCCTCGGCCTCACTGAACCAAATTAGTTCCAGACCTCAACTTTAGGTTTGAAAGGAGAAAAATTGGGCTAAGGCGTTGTTAACTGGGAGGATAAGGACTTTGGTTAATTTTACATCTAAATCCTCATTCCATGTTTCTAACATGTGATCAATGAGTTGAGTTAAAAGATATATTAAGTGATCTTTGAAGATTAAAAGAGCCTTTCCCCCATTTCCAAAAAAACAAACATCTTTAAAGACTCAGAAATATTGAATGTTGGATAGCAGATTGTTTTGACACAACTAAGAGGTTCACTCAGACTCAGTGGCACAAAAATTAGAGGAACCAGTTCTAAAACAGTTCTGAAAGCTTCTTTCTGATTGGTGCTTGGTCTCTGAGACGAACAGACTTCAATTCTGATTGGCCGTTGCTCCCCTGGATGAACAGATTCCCATTCTCCTGTTCTCAGGTGTGGTTGGTCAGACTTGGGTTCTGAACCGATTCCGGCTCGTCCCGTTGGACAAGATCGACCAGGTGGTGATGTCATACGGTGGCCTGCGGGGGGCAGTTGCCTTCGCTCTGGTGGTGCTGTTGGACGGCGAGCAGGTCAAAGCCAAAGATTACTTTGTTGCCACGACGATTGTGGTGGTCTTCTTCACAGTCATGTTCCAGGTAGGAGCAGCGTTGCTAAAGATTCTGGTTTGTAAACAAAAAAAAAAAAAAACCCGAAGAACCCGTTTCAGACTCGGTGAAACACCAGAATCTCATAATGGGTCTAAATGACCCTTATGAGAACCTCGAGAGTTCTGGGTTCTCAAAGTTTGGTTCTGAATTTATTGGTTTCAGGGTTTGACCATCAAACCTTTGGTGAAGTGGCTGAAGGTCCCTCGCTCCACCAACAGGAAGCCCACCATCAACGAGGAGATCCATGAGAGGGTGAGATTCATCTTCAGCTTCTCATGTGATGCAACCATTGCTTAACTGTGTGTCTGTCTGCTGTCAGGCCTTCGACCACATCCTGACCGCAGTGGAGGACATTGCAGGCCTCCAGGGGTATCACCACTGGAGAGACAAGTGAGTCCCACAATCGCCTCCACCTTCATCAGAGCGACGTCACAGAAACCTTATGACATCATGTCTGTGTGTGAAACCAGGTGGGAACAGTTTGATAAGAACTACCTGAGCAAGCTGCTGCTGAGGAAGTCGGTCTACAGGAAGAGCGAGCTGTGGGAGGCCTACCAGAAGATCAACATCCGAGACGCCATCAGCGTCATCGACCAGGTAGGCCCTGAGCTCAGGTCTAAAAGAACCGGTTCTCATGAGGCCTGCTGGGTTTGATCAAGAGGATTTTCAATAGAAAAAGACCCGGATGATGGAAAGACAGCAGGTGAAGAATCCTCCAGACCTGTGGACTCCAGCAGCAGCTCCTATCTCCTACAGAGGAAGTTTATTTCAGCTGCTTGGATTCAGGATCTGGGATTTGGTTCTGATCCACATTTAAGAAGCATATTTGAAGCTTGGGATGTAGCTGAAGCTTCAGCTCTCAGCTTTATTCTTCTTCACCACCACAGACCAAAGCTGATCTTCTGCTTATCTGCTCTGGATCTGGGGGTTTCCGGTTACTTCCTTCAGTTTCCAGCAGAGGGCAGCATTGAGAATCTAAAACAGCTCAAATCTGAGCAGGTTAACTTTGCAAGAAGAACCTCCTGTTACATCATTTTATCTTCTAACAGGACTAACTTGTTGTGTTGCTGTGGTACTAGTCTGAGTTGGGGATTAGATTTTTATTAGAACCGACCTGCTCAGACGACCAACAAGCAGAACCAAAGCAGGAAAACAGGCACAGCATCACTAAGATTGGGATCAAATATCATCTCTAAGGAAACCAGACCTTCAGAGGAAACATTTAAACTCTTTTCTAATGCAGCTCGACCTTCTTTCAGACAGTCCTAATAAATCCTAGAAAACCAGGTGAGGTTTTAATTTGGACCTCAGTTTATTTATGGAGCAGAGAATCAGCTGGAAGCAGGGGGAACATTCCTGACGTTTCAGGAACAAAAAGTTCCTTTTCTGTCGACGCAGCAAACTCTGCCTCAGCATTTTACTTCAGGATCGTGAAGAATCAGATTCCTTTAACAGTTCAGTATGAAGAACACTGGAGACATAAAACATCAAAGAGTAATTTATGTTTTAATAGGTGTAAAATGTCCTATTTCATCATCCATGGCAAATAATCCCTGTAAGCTGTGGAACAGGAAGAGCTGTGTACAGTGGCGCCTCCACAAATGTTTCACTGGGGGGGGCAGATTGGGCCACTAAAATTCTTGGGGTGGCTAATGAAACTGAAAGCCATAATTTCAGGGTTTGAATTTAAACCTGTGAGTGAAGTTGGCCCCCCCCACCTTCTTCAAATTAGACAAAATTAGTGTCAAACGTTTGTGCAGCAAAAATTTTCGTTTGTGCCGCTATCATTTTAAAGATATAAAGAAATGTTTCTAGAGGTCATCAAAGGTCAACCAGACCCCCCCCACCCCCCTACCGTAGCCGGTGTCAATTAACTCTGCTCAGTTTGTGCAGCAAAAACGGGTGTTAATTGACCTTTGATGACCTCTACAAAATGTTATTAATATAATTGAAATTATAGCAGTATAAATGAACATTTTTGCCAAACAAAAATATAAAATTTTAGAATTAATTTTAAATGTAAAATATTTAAAATAAAGATATAAAAAATTTTAAAATGCATATTTTAAAATATGTATATTTTTTTTTACTGCTATCATTTTAATTATATTAATAAATAATAAATGTTTGTAGAAGCCATCAAAGGTCAGTGAACATTTGTTCATTCTGAAACTATGAATTATAAGCTGCTGACCTATGAATATATAATTTTAAACTGTAAAAGAATGATAGCTGCAAAAACGAAAATCTTTGCTGCACAAACGTTTGACACAAATTTAGTCTAATTTGAAGAAGGTGGGGGGGCTGTTTGACCTTTTGACCTTTACATTTTCATTAATATCTTCAAAGCTAAAGCAGCACAATGAAAATTCTGCTGCACAAACATTTGACACTAATTTTGTCTGATTTGAAGAAGGTGGGGGGCCAACCTCACTCAGGTTTGAATTTACTATAGTGGTAAACCTGCCTGTAGAAATCATAACGACTTCAGTAAAAACCTCCTCAGATCCTGGTTAATTGAGTGATTTTTAATGTTACGTCGCTGGCTGTGCAGAATGGGATGAAATGCTAAACTGATGCTGCTATAATTTACACTGGAGGCGCCACTGGCTGTGAGGGACCTGTAGTCAGACGAGTCCCCGACATGTTTTACACTCCAGCTGCAGCCTCAGAGCAGAAGTCTGATTAAAACGAGGCCTGAAAATGCGTCTCTTTCCACGCAAAGGTTTTGTTTGATCAAAGACAGACTTGCAGTGGGAACCTGCGGTCCCTCACGCCGACTCTGAGCCATGCGGACGAACATTCCGCATTGCTCAGAGTCGCACATTATAAAGCCGGGAATACGCTGTACGATTGGCCTTTTCAGGCTGATTCTCCAGTCGTGCAAGCATTTTTTTTTTCAATCAGGCTGAATTTAGCCTCTAACCACCACCCCCCCATCAGGAATCGTAAGGTCGGGAGAAAACCAAACATGTTTGAGATTTAGTCGGTGGTCGTAGGCAGAGATGGCAAAAGTACTCACTTTTCGTACTTGAGTAAAAGTACAGATACTTGTGTTAAAAAATACTCTGGTAAAAGTGGAAGTACTGATTAAACTTCTTTACTCAAGTAAAAGTAACAAAGTACAGGCTTGTAAATTTACTTAAAGTATCAAAGTAAAAGTAGAAACCACTTTTTTCATGCCGTTGCCTCCATTTTAAATGGATGTCTGCCAATAGGACTAGATCTCCGTTGTGTTCATTTTCAATCATCTCGTCGTCCATGCTACTATGCTAACGCCACCGCCACCAAGCTGCAATGATTTGCCGCCAATGAATACCGCCGAATCTGTCGATTCAACTTGTAGTGGTGCGTCAAATGCAACGTAGATTCCCATCCAGTTAGATTGAACTTGGTATTGATGACGTGAAAAATAATAACGGTAACTCCATTGAAATGATTCAAAACTAAAGTAACGAGACAATTTTTTAAAATGTAAGGAGTAGAAAGTACAGATATTTGTGTAAAAATGTAAGGAGTAGAAGTAAAAAGTCGCCATAAAAATAAGTAGTAAAGTAAAGTAAAAATATCAGAAAAATCTACTTGAGTACAGTAACGAAGTATTTGTACTTCGTTACTTCCCATCTCTCGTCATAGGCAAACCGCTCAGTGGGCAAACAAGCATCAGCATTTCATGCTCCCACTGGTGAACCATAAGTACTCATGAGGATCTGTGGAATAAACAGAAAAGCTCAAATAAATCACAGCTAATCATAGGCGGTTCTAGACAGGGGCTAAAGGGGGCCGGTCCCCTGCCATTAGTCCTGGCCCTCTTCGTTTGGTCCATGTACTAAAGGTGTAGTTCTAAATATTTTTTATGATAATATGCACTGAAAGGCTTCTTTTATTTCTCCAGTATTTTTTAGGCATTTATTTAAAATAAAGGTGTTGAACTTTTAGCTTCAGTCTATTTTGAAACAGGATCACAGTTTTCTTCTGCAGGATCTCACATTTCCAGATTCCTCATGTCTCAGCTGGGTGCTAAAGGAGGGGCGGGGACAACCGGAGAAGACCTTAGTGAGGTTGGCCCCCCCACCTTCTTCAAATCAGACAAAATTTGTTTCAAACATTTGTGCAGCAAAAATTTTCGTTTGTGCCGCTACCATTTTAAAGATATAAAGGGATGTTTCTAGAGGTCATCAAAGGTCAACCAGCCCCCCCACCTTCTTCAAATCAGATGAAATGGGTGTCAATTAACTCAGCTCCGTTTGTGCAGCAAAAATTGTCTTTTATGCTGCTTTAGCTTTGAAGATATTAATGAAATATAAAGGTTAAAAGGTCAACCAGCCCCCCCACCTTCTTCAAATTAGACAAAATTAGTGTCAAACATTTGTGCAGCAAAGATTTTCGTTTGTGCCGCTTTCATTTTTTTTTACAGTTTAAAATTATATATTCATAGGTTAGCAGCTTATAATTTATAGTTTCAGAATGAAACTGTAAATTATAAGCTTCTACAAACAATTCTTAATATCATTAAAATGATAGCAGTACAAAAAAAATGTATATATATTAAAAATATGCATTTTTAATTTTTTTATATATTTATTTTAAATATTTTATATATTAAAAATTATTTTAAAATTTTATATTTTTGTATTTCAAAAATGTTCATACGGAAGAGGATTAGGGCCACTGGAAAGAAAAAAAAAAGTTTACTGATTTTAAGATTTAATTTCAGTTTAGTATGGGAAAAAAAAAAGTCAGAATTCTGACTTTAATCTCAGAATTCTGAGATTAAAGTCAGAATTCTGAGAAAAAAAGTCAGAATTCTGAGAAAAAAGTCAGAATTCTGACTTTTTTCTCAGAATTCTGAAATTAAAGTCAGAATTCTGAGATTAAAGTCAGAATTCTGAGAAAAAAAAGTCAGAATTCTGAGAAAAAAGTCAGAATTCTGAGAATAAAGTCAGAATTCTGACTTTTTTCTCAGAATTCTGAGATTAAAGTCAGAATTCTGAGAATAAAGTCAGAATTCTGAGAAAAAAGTCAGAATTCTGAGATTAAAGTCAGAATTCTGAGAAAAAAGTCAGAATTCTGAGAAAAAAGTCAGAATTCTGAGATTAAAGTCAGAATTATTAGATTAAAGTCAGAATTCTGAGAAAAAAGTCAGAATTCTGAGATTAAAGTCAGAATTCTGACTTTTTTCTCAGAATTCTGAGATTAAAGTCAGAATTCTGAGAAAAAAAAGTCAGAATTCTGAGAATAAAGTCAGAATTCTGAGAATAAAGTCAGAATTCTGAGAAAAAAGTCAAAAAGTCAGAATTCTGAGAATAAAGTCAGAATTCTGAGATTAAAGTCAGAATTCTGAGAAAAAAGTCAGAATTCTGAGAAAAAAGTCAGAATTCTGAGATTAAAGTCAGAATTATTAGATTAAAGTCAGAATTCTGAGAAAAAAGTCAGAATTCTGAGATTAAAGTCAGAATAATTCTGAGATTAAAGTCAGAATTCTGAGAAAAAAAAGTCAGAATTCTGAGAATAAAGTCAGAATTCTGAGAATAAAGTCAGAATTCTGAGAATAAAGTCAGAATTCTGAGAAAAAAGTCAAAAAGTCAGAATTCTGAGAATAAAGTCAGAATTCTGAGAATAAAGTCAGAATTCTGAGAAAAAAATCAGAAATCTGAGATTAAAGTCAGAATTCTGAGAAAAAAGTTAGAATTCTGAGATTAAAGTCAGAATTCTGAGATTAAAGTCAGAATTCTGAGAAAAAAGTCAGAATTCTGAGATTAAAGTCAGAATTCTGAGATTAAAGTCAGAATTCTGAGAAAAAAGTCAGAATTCTGAGATTAAAGTCAGAATTCTGACTTTTTTCCCATGTTAAACTGAAATAAAATTTAAAAATCAGTTTACTTTTTTTTTTTCCAGTGGCCCTAATCCTCTTCCGTAGTTCATGTGTACTGCTATCATTTTAATGATATTAATAATATTTTGTAGAGGTCATCAAAGGTCAGTGACCATCTGTTTTTGCTGCACAAACGTTTGACACAAATTTAGTCTAATTGACCTTTGATGACCTCTAGAAACATTTCTTTATATCTATAAAACGATAGCGGCACAAACAAAGATTTTTGCTGCACAAACGTTTAACACTAATTTTGTCTGATTTGAAGAAGGGGGGGGGGGGGGCAACTTCACTCAGGTGTGGAGAGGGGGGGACCGGTTTGAATCTATAGCTGAACTCTTCCAGCCTCCTAGCCGGTCTGGGTCCTTCAAAGGAACCAGCCGCTGGATTGAAACGCATCATGAGTTTGATCTGAACAGCAGACCTCTACGCTGACCTTTGACCTCTGTGTGTGCAGGGTGGGAACTTCCTGACTTCAGCCAGGCTGTCTCTGCCTTCCATGGCCAGCAGAGCCTCGTTCCCTGAAGTCACCAACGTCACCAACTACCTGTGAGTCACATGATCTCTTTCTGACGATGGAGGAGAATATTTTCATTAGAACACATCATCTCTGCTTAAATGAACTTATTAGAGCGATTTGGACCAAAATACAAACTTTGGGACTGATTTATCAAGATTTCAAATAAGGTGCACCAAACTGCACACGCATATTTTATTTTGGTGAATGCAATAAGTGGGCACGCTGCAGGTGATCTCCCAAGGTTAAAGCACGAATGTTAGGATGAGCAAACCAGTTAAAATGAGCAGATCAAATATTTTACAAAGAGTAGAACATGCAGACCTTCACAGCCCCACCCCCACGTCTCCGCAGGCTCTTTTGTCATTCTGTTCATTTTATAAATGCCGTCCTGGATTCTGCGCCCACCTGCAGAGACATTTCTTTCTTTATTTGTCTTCTATTTTTATCTCTGAGGGTCCAAATATGTTTACATCAGAGCAGAATCTCTGAACATTCAGCTCCTGCAGATCTGCTCTCTGCATACAAACAGGTTTCAATGTATTTTAGGATAAACCCTCTGAAGATCGGGACCTTTATTGCTTCAGAGTAAAGCTAAATAACCGATCCTTTGAAAAGTCCAAAAGCTCAGGAGGAAGAGATCAAATAAACTTCAGCATTTAGCATTTTTTAAGCCTCATCCTGCTGACTGTGTGGTGTCACAGGCGGGAGAACGGCAGCGGCGTGTGTCTGGACCTCCAGGTGATCGACAACGTCCCTGGATCCAAGGTGGAGGAGGACATGGAGACGCATCACGTCCTGGCGGGGAACCTTTACAAGCCCAGAAAACGGGTAATTCTGCAAACTTCCGCTGGGATTTTTTCTTTTAAAGAAACTGCTGGAAAATCTGCAGTTTGGTTTTGGAAATGTAAAATATGAGGAGAGATGATCCAGGAGACTTAAAGGAGATGATTAAACATGGTTCTGTGAACTTTGTCGATTGTGTTCAGTACCAGTCCCACTACAGCCGACACTTCATGCCGCTGGGAGAGAAGGAGCGTCAGGACCGGGAGGTGTTCCAGAGGAACATGAGGAGCCGCATGGAGACCTTCAAATCCACCCGACACAAACGGCACAAGAAGGAACGGAGCCTGAAGAAGGTAAACATGCAGAGGGACCCTCACCGCTGGAATAGCGTTGAGTTTGAGCTTTTATACAGAAGCCCAAAAAAAACGACCCCCATTCCAAAGGGGGGGCCCGTTCATCCGTTTCTATTTGCATATTGTCGTGTCTTTTACCTCTTGTTTATATGCGTCACGTCTTCGGATGAAGTTAGCTATCTTTGCTAGTTTTCATGTGAGATCTGATTAGCTTCAGCTTCCCTCTTGAATGCATATAGTTTACTCACAGTCTCCGTTGCGTGGGAATGACACGACAGGAATGCTGGATGAAGTTTACCATTTAATGGCTGGTTGGATGATTACAACAGGCTGCAATGACGCCTAGCTCCAACGAGGAATTGTCTTCTCGTCGGGGCCAAGTGGTGTCTTCTATGCAGCTTATCAAACAACTGAACTCAGGATACAGACAGCCAATATTAATAACCAAGGATCCAACTGCCCTCTAGAGGCCACACATAACATTACACTTACTTCTGTTAAGTCCTATGACTGAACTAATACATTCACTACACAGCCCCCCTCCAAGAATACTGAGTCCCTTCAGTACATATTTCAGGGTAAGTATAGACTAAATGCATTTCAACTAAGAATTACTTTAACGTCCAAAAAGTTAAACCTGAACACATTTCGAAACATCATTACTTAAATCAAAAGGAAAACAATAATTATTAGTTAGAGTCCCAAAAGTGAACTAGGTATGCTGGAAGTCAAAAAATTAACTACTGACTTTATCGATGAGAGTCCATTCATGCTTTGTACCAGACAGGGGGGCGGACTTCGCGACCTCTGGACGTGGTAGGATGCTGCAGGGGCATTGCAGGGCTGTCATCCTGGTCCGGTGGCACCGTCTCCTCTGGAGGTGGGCAAGCCGTCTTACGAGCCTGACGGCGCCGTCGTGCAGTTCTTTGACGCCCGCGTCCTCCAGGTTCTTGTTGCGTTGACTCCTCGTCCGCGCAGCTTGAAGAATCCTCTGGCTGACCGCCGGGTGCTCCATGCGATTCGATGCTGGGAGGGGGCTGGTCTCTCTGGAGAATCTCGTGCCGTCTCCGTCGTGTCCATCCAGGTATCACATCAGACGTGTAGGGCTTCAAACGGTCATGGTGCAGGATCTTTCTGTCCCGCTTCCCTATCACTTCGTACAGCACTGGGCCCAGGCAGGAGGCAATGATGCTAGGGCCTTTCCACGGCGGTTGCAGCTTTGGACTGAATCCCTTCCTCTTGGTACTGTCCTTTACAAAGACTAGATCTCCAACAGCATATGGTTTTCCTTTGGCCCTGACGTCATAGGTTCGTTTTTGGCGTTCCTGGGCGGCTTTTAGGTGTTCTCTAGCAGTTTCTTGTGCCTCCTTCAAGCCCTGCTCCAGCTCACTCAGGAACTCCGGAAACGCACATCTGTCCCGTCTGAACTCTGCTGCACCTGACCAGATGTCATGTGGTTGGTGGACCTCCCTGCCCAGCATGAGTCTGTTTGGGCTGCATCCTGTGCTGGCATTCTTGGTGCTACGATATGCTGCCGTAAGCAAGGGAAGATGCTCGTCCCAGTTCTTTTGGTTCTGGTCCACATAGCAGCGCACCATCTGCAGGAGGGTTCTATTGAATCTTTCAACTTGGCCATTTGATGCCGGGTGGTATGGCGTAGTTCTAGTTTTGGTGATTTGAAGCAGCTGACACACTGTCTTAAACAGGGTGCTTTCAAAATTGCGACCCTGGTCGCTATGGAGTTCCAGGGGGCAACCAAAACGTGATATAAAGTCATACACAAGTCTTCTAGCTGTGGTTTCTGCTCCTTGATCGGGTACCCCATAAGCTTCCACCCATCGCGTGAACTGGTCTATGATGACCAGAATGTACTTATTGCCTGCTGTAGATACTGGAAAGGGACCCAGTATGTCCAACTGTAGGCGGTCAAGGGGAGCTCCGGCCTGGTACGACTGCAGTGCTGCTTTTGTTGTTGGCCCAGCAGTCTTGCGTGTGGTACAGTTCTGGCATTTTTGTACAAAGAGCTGCACATCACCTCCCATCGCATACCAGTGGTAGCTCTGCTTCAGGCGTTGTAGAGTTTTATCAATCCCCAGGTGGCCCCCATGAGGTGGATCATGGCAGGCCCTGATTAATTCCATCTGCATTGAGGTTGGTACTAACAGCAAGTGGCGTGGTTGTCCTCCATCCGCCCTCTCCCAACGATAGACCAGAACTCCATGGTGCAGCTCGATCTGGGGCCAGCACAGCCAGTACTTCCTAGCAGCAGGACTTTCAAGGGACACCTCATCTCGTGTGGGCAGTTCTCCTTTTTCAATCCACTGATGCAGCTTGGATAAAACAGGGTCTTTGCGCTGCTCAAGTGCCCATTCTTCTTGGGTAACCGGCTGAAGCCAGTTTGTAGCAGGCGTGCCTGTCCCTTCTGTCACTGGATCTTTTGGTTGTTCTTTTGTTCGATTTCCCTCATCTTCGTTTGTGGTTAGACGCCTGACTGCAAGGGGAACCACATCATCCACATCCTCAGTGAACTTGGCCCATTGTTGGTCGAGTCGTTGGCAGTGTGCACAGCCATGGCATGGCAGAGAAGCCACATCTTGCCCTGCCTCATAGCAGTCACAGCTTTCACTCCCGTCACCATCTTTGCGCGACATGCCATCAGCATTTAGATGTCTCCTTCCTTCTCTATGCTCAATCTCAAAGTCGTACTGGCTCATTTCTTCCAACCATCTTGCTAATTGGCCTTGGGGATTCTTGAACCTGAAGAGCCATACCAGACTGTTGTGGTCTGTGCGTAAGAGGAATCTTCTCCCCAGAAGGTAATGCCGGAACTGCCGGGTGAATTTAATCACAGCCAGTAACTCTCTTCGGGTTACACAGTATCTCTGCTGTATCGAGGTCAGGTGATTGCTTGCGTACGAAATGACTCTCTCTTCACCCCACTGATTTTGAGACAGTACAGCTCCAATGCTGTGGTTAGATGCATCTGTGTCTAGTATGAATTTCCCTTCACTGGTAGGGTAAGCCAGTATTGGAGATGAGGTGAGCTTTTTCTTCAAGTGCAGGAAGGCTTCTCTTTGTTCCTCCCCCCATTCAAATTGGACTTCCTTCTTCAAGAGGTACGTTAATGGGCTCGCTAGTTCAGCAAAGGATGGAACAAACTTTCTGTAATAGTTACACAGCCCTAGGAAGGCTTGGAGTTCTTGCCTGCCTGTGGGGTAGGGCCAGTCCTGTACATCCTTCACAAGTGCTGAATTCGGTCGTATGCCTTCACCACTAACGACGTGTCCCAAGAACAGGACTTCTTCCTTTAGGAGTTGGCATTTTGACGGTTTAAGTTTCAGCCCAAAGCTCTGCAGTCTTCCAAAGACTTCGGTCAGGCGATCCAGGCTCTCCTCGACGTCTTTCCCTAGAATTATTATGTCATCTAGGTAAATCAGTAGTGTGTCCCACTGAAGACCACGAAGGGCAAACTCCATCGCCCTCTGAAATGTCCCAGGGGCGTTACACAACCCGAAGGGCATCCGGGTATACTCGTATAGTCCATACTTCGTGATGAACGCTGTCTTTCCACGGTCTCTTTCATCTACAGCAATCTGCCAGTATCCACTTTGTAGGTCAAGAGTGGAAAAGACTGTCGCCCCACCCAGCACATCTAAGCACTCTTCAATCTTTGGCAGAGGATATGCATCCTTTGTTGTCAAGCTGTTCAGATGCCGATAGTCGACACACCAACGTACACCTCCGTCTTTTTTGCGGACTAGAACCACAGGCGATGCCCATCCAGATGACGAGGGGGTTATTACTCCTGCATCCAGCATAGACTTAAGGTGGGTTTCCTCTTCATTTTGAAAGCCCAAGGGTGTTCGCCTTGCTGGTTGACGGACTGGTCTGGCTGTACCAGTGTCTATCTGGTGTGAGACGGCAGAGAAGTAGCCAAGGTCTGTGTCAGATACAGCAAACAGGGACTGGTAGTTAAGCAGTAGAACAATCAGTTTCTCTTGCTGCTCCTCGCTAAGCATCTCTCCAGATGCCGTGTATAGAGTTTGCACATGTTCAGGTAGGTCAGTGGCTTTAGCAGTGACGACCCTGCCGATCTTTGGTGCACTTTTGGGGTCATTGTCTGAGTTGCATTCAATGTCCAGTTCAGACTGTAAAGTGGAGTCATCTGAGAAGGCCTCAATCAGGATTCCGAGGCATGCCCCTTTACGCAAAGCAGCCTTATCTGAGGAAAGGTTGCACAAGCGCACAGGCACACGAGCATCCATGTTTGTGACTGCACTTCCTGAGGACACATTCTCTGTAATGCTAGTTGGCTCCAACACAGCAGGGACGCCTGGCCTTGGGTACTCCACCTCTCCCCATACCACACATTCACACTCTGGTGGCAGTGTTGTATCTCTTTCCAGCAGTACACGGGCAACTGAGTAGTCTGGCCCCTCCCCGCCCACAATCTTAGCGGGAATGGGCTCCCCTGCGATAAAAACCCGGCCAGTAGCTTCGATTGTGACATTTGCAGCTCTGAGGAAGTCAAGACCGAGCAGAAGACAATCATGGATTGGGGCCACATAGACATCCCAGTCAAAACTGTGGGTTCCTATTTGGAAAACCACTTGCACTCCACTCATGGCTGTCATCTCACTGTTGGACTCGGCATTGTGAAGAACTGCCTTTTTTAGATGTGGTGGGTCACGCCCATACAGTTGCTTGTAAAGCCCTTCAGAGAGGACAGTTGCCTCAGCCCCTGTGTCCACTACAGCTTGGACTGGAGTGTCGTTCACCTTCAGTGTAATGTGAAGACTAGGCCCTCGGTTGGTGGCACGACTGATTGTCAATGTTGGGGACCGAGTCTGCTCTTGGGCCATGTCATGCTCGCTTGCCGTAGTACGCCTGGTGGTTGGGCTAGGTGACCTGGAGCATTCCCTCCTGAAGTGCCCCGCTTCCCCACACCCATAGCAGGGCCCTTTTGTGCTTCTAGGAGGGCTTGCAGAGGTAGTGCGTGC